GTTTCACCTACTAGCAGTCTATGCATGTTGATGTGATCGTGTAATGCCAAAATTACAATTATATTTACAATACAGTGAATTTAGGTCCTCTTTTTTCTCACTTTGTGATTAATAGACTTTAATTATAGAGACTATAAATTTGCTCCAAATAATTCGAGCCAAGTTTGAGTTAGAGAAACTGAGTCGTGCTGAGGTTTGAGCACCTTAGTATCGGCTTCAAATAAATAGTAAAGATTGATTTTAATATTACTTCTAAGAAATTGAACGGTGAAGATTATTTAAAACACCGGATTACTTGATATGCTAGACTCCCAAAGACTGATCACACTGAGGACAATGGACAAGTTTAGAATTTTTTTTTTTTTTTTTTTTTTTGAAAAAACTAATAAAAATGGCTTCAAATTTTTACATTTTAATAAATAAAAAAACCATCAACTAACTTTATTTAATAATAAGGTACAAAATATAAAAATATAAAAAACACCACATGCGCTGGCGCTCATATATACATCCCACTCCACCTCCCATTTCCACTCTGTTTTCTCCCTATTGTCAACTAACATTAAGCCCTTATTATTATTATTATTATTATTATTATTATTTTGTTGCTTAGAATAATAGAAAGACTTCAAATTGAATTACATTTTCCTAATTTTATTTTTGTGGTGTTGTTTCCCAATAGTAGTCAAGATGACGAGAGATTTTTCAATGTGTCCGGGACACAGAGTGATATACCACGTCTCTATACAAGTGATGAGATTCTTGTGTTAAAAAATAAAATTTCCCACCACTTACATAATAACACGTGGTGTAGAAAGTTAAGATTGTAGGTGGAGGAGAAGAGGAAGCCGCACATGGGCAAACAATAGAAGAAAATTAAGTAATTGGTGTAGAAAGTTAAGACATTGAAGAGATACAGAGAAAATTTGATGAGTATTGAAAAAAAAAATAGAAGAAGAAAATGTGTTTGGAAGGTGAGAATGTGCCAAGACAATTCAAGAAGATGAGAGAGAAGAATGTAGTACCTAAAGTTTCATAAACAGTGTAGTACCGTTAAGTTTTATAAACAGTATAGTAAGTTTCATAAACAATGTTGTAATTTTTCATAAACAGTGTAATAAGTTTTAAAAACAATGTCTTAAGTTTCATAAACAGTGTAATAAGTTTCATAAACAGTGTATAAAGTTTCATAAACAGTTTATGTGAGGACGCGTGGATCCACACGTCAAATTTTTCTTTTTTTAATATTAAAATTATATCTTTTTCATTAAAATTTAAGTTCTTTTGTCCTTTTATTAAAATTTAAGACTTTTTTATTAAAATTTAAGTCTTTTTAATTAAATACAATTATAACATGATTTTTTATTAAAATAAACTTAGCGCAAATCATTTATATCAACGTTCCCTTTAATAAATTGGTTGGGGTATGACCTCTCCATCATTGGGGAGAGTCTAAACTTCAGAGGGCCATTTTCACGCGGGGAATCTCCTTGAATTTGTTCGCATCTTATTAGTGGAATTTTTGTTTTTGTTCGGATTTTATTAGTCGATCTTTGATAAATTACTGATTATGTTATCACAAAATATTAACGCGTTAAACCACCTTCGTTGTTTCTGGATTGCAATTCAGTCATTGCACAACCGCAAAATTGTTCCAGAAACTTTGATGAAAGATATGATTTCAGCCCGTGAAACTTAGCAAATTCATCAATTATGTTGAACTTGACGTATTTTAATTTTTTTGAATGCCTAAAATACCCCCATTTGAATGGTTGATGTACACAATTAATTCCATGGATTGAAAGGAAGAATGAATTGTTTTACATAAAAAGGATAAAAAAATATTAATGTTATAAATTCATTGCCTAATATATAATAACGATAAAAAATGCCTAATGTATGTAATAATAAATGCTTAATTAACGTCACAAAAATTATATAAAAAGTACAAGTAAATTATTTTCTTATTAAAAAATTATAAATGTGTAGTTTTTTTTTAATACGATTGTTCACTCCCACAAATAGTGAACTGTTGTGGTCTATTTTACTGAAGGGAGAAAGTGAGTGCCTTTATTTATAGTAAACTAGATAAGATTTCTTTCCTTGCAAATAATATAAGATCTTCTAGTATCCTAAAAACAGTTTACATATGGATCTCATATCTATTAGAAAGTGATACAAACATGGTATGAAAAATGTGATAAGAATAACATTTTTGATAATTAAAATCTAAATTAAGGATCATCTTCCTAATGTATAAGTATTTAGTAAAGAAAATTTAAATTGAAAAATTAAATTGTATTTTAACCATTAAAAGTGTATAAATCTAATGACTTAAAACTTGTGTCTAAAATCTAGTACCACGAACCTACCCTCATATCTAAACACGTACTGATAAAAAGGGACTATCTTGTACTTTTGTACATTCCAGCAAAAACAGAAATAAAAAAAAAAATACTATTGTCGATGCAGAGTCACTTACCACATGATCCATGCACGTATCATTACAATTTACATTTAAATTCACCCTACTATAAATCTTTAATCATTTTGATCCGTTAGTACACATCCAATTGTTCATGCGTAAACTGTAGGTAGAATCTGCAGAAGTTTATAGTTTTAGTGCAAGAACATTTAGTTTCAATAGCAAGCTGAGAATTTGACTCTCGCCGTCCATGGCCTCATCATTTGTACTCTCCTTCATTGCACTAATTTCAATAGCCATCACCATCCCCCTCTGCATGTCCTCTCCTAAAACACCACTCCGAGGTTTCGAGACACGTCTCATTCATCGCGACTCGCCTGAATCTCCGCTATACAACCCTAGTCTCACTCGTGCTCAACGCAAAGAAGCAGCTCGTCGCAGAAGCATAGCCAGACAAAATTACCTCACGAGGCGAATGTCACCAGCAGCAGTAAGCAACGCTACTGCCCGCATTGATTACAATAATGGAGTCTACGTAATGAGGTACAAAATTGGAACCCCTCCAATCGATACATATGGATACTTTGACACTGCTAGCACCTTAATTTGGATGCAGTGTAATCCCTGCAAAAAATGTTACAAACAAAGCATACCAATCTTTGAACCTGGAAAATCATCCTCCTACCGAAAGCTGATGTGTGACGATGACCGTGTGGAGTGTGGCCTAGTCCCAGATAACGGTTGCCCAAGTGAGGATGGTTCATGTACTTACATTGCGGCTTATGAAGATGGAGGGTCTTCCGAAGGAGTCGCTTCCAAAGAAACATTCATGCTCGAAGGTGAAACAATCCCTGATATGACTTTCGGGTGTGGTCTGAAGAATACAGATACGGATCCGGATGAAAATCCGCCAGGAGTTGTTGGTGCAGGTAGAGAACCAAGTTCACTTGTTGCGCAATTAATTAGAGAACGGACTCGTTTTTCGTTTTGCATTTCGCCTTTTAATCGAGGTAACCGTAGCAATGTGAAATTCGGTTCAAAGGCAGTGATCCATGAGGGTAATCAGACCCCATTATTACCTGGTCGATACGGTTGGTACCATATAGGGGTAGAAGGTATTAGCGTTGAAGGTACTAGGCTCAACATTTCGGAGGATGTGTTCAGATGGAGGCCAGAGGGAAGAGGAGGCATCATCATAGATACAGGAACAACATATACTCACCTTGCATCGGAAGCTTATTACGCAGTCCAGAGCGCGGTGATAAATGCGCTACCGAATTACAAACACAAGATAAATCCCCATTCGGAGTTCCTGCTGTGTTATGATTCGGATGATGGTTTTCATATGAACATAGCACCTGATATAGAGTTCCACTTCAGAGATGATCGCCGACTAGGTTTTGATTATACATTGGATCCGAATAATGTTTGGAATGAAGATAACTGCATGACTATAAAACCAGATTATCATGGCCTTTCTGTGTTGGGAATAAACCAGCTTGAGAATGTGAACGTCGGGATCGACTTTCAGAATAACATCGTGACTTTTAAGGACACTGATGACTGTCGGGATACCTAACTAAAGTGTGCATGGTATAAATAATTAGTGATGTGGTCTAAAATGTGGTGCAAAAACTTCCATCGGTATGATCATCATCCCTGTACCATATATTAGGGCTGAAGAATCAAGAATTCCTTTGTTGTTTCCTTTTTTGGGACTGAAAAATATTTTGTGGTTGGTACTGAAATTTTTTTTTTTTTTTTTTCTTTTTCCAGCAATTGTGATTGGTAATGAACTTAATATGCTGGAAAAAGATCAATTTTAGACCCTACAAAGAACACACTTTCTACATTAAAGACATCATATTTATGCGGTATGGTTCAATAAAACGATCGTAACCTTTTAGGGCTTCAAAACTTCTGCTTCTTATAGGAGTTGTCTTAATGTATTTCTCCTTTTTAGATTTGAGTTTTGTTGTTGGTTTGACACGAGGGCATAATTTTTTCCGCTCATCCATTTTTATTGTGTTAGGGTAAGGCTTCATGTCGCTCGCTATCTATTGTGCTTTTAATTTTGCTTTAACAATATATTAACAATAATATCTTTCCGTTGTAGAAACTCTGGTGCGTACTAGATCATCATCTGCCTTCGCACCAACAACATCATCATCTGCCGATCACAGATTGATATGTTGGAACCATGTAAGTACTGCTCATTGACGACCACGATGATCCCAACAACCGTGGCTGCAAGATCGGGTGGTCGTTTGTTTGTGATCCAATTGAAGGATGGAGATTTGAAGACCTTGTATCATATGTTGGCTCCTCTCCAATCAATGGCAAAGAAGATGGAGCAGACTCTTCTATATAATATTTGAACGTTGACCCTTTTTTCAATACAATTATATTGGGGGTGGGAATTGAGCTATGACATATAATTGGAGTTCACAATTTGGTATCATACTCATCATCATGTAGAATTGAACTTAAAATCTCTCACTTACAAGCAAGAGAGAAATGTGAGCCTTTGGTATTATCACAAATCGAAATTTAAAAATGACTTTGAGTCCGAATATCATGAAAATTGTGACCTAATTTGAAATGTTTGTGATCTGTTTACATTTCAGTTCTATGAGGTAATGAGCCTAATGTGCTCCAGCAAAAAGATACAAATTCAAACCTCACAGAGACGTACAGACATTTCAAGTTCCTTTTTCTTGTTTCCCTCAACCTCTCATGGAAAAAGAAACAGAGTCATCAAAATGGCAAGGAAAACACTCTCGGAATAGAGGAGTTCCCGGCGAACCCCATCCGGTCCATTACTGTACAGTAGCATCATCAGATGATCATGAGCCATCAACGACGGCAACGGCAACCACCAAAGGATGCAAGAGCGAGTGGTCCTTTGTTTCTGATCCGGCTGAGGGCTGGAGAGACTTAAAGATTGCCTATCTTATCTCCGGTTTTGCCCCCCGACTCATAGCAAACACGATGGATGAAACGACGGCTCCTCACCGATCTACTTGTTTAGGTTTCATTTGATTCAACGTTGAGCTTGGTACATCAAATAAAGTAAAGTAATTCCAAGACAAGTAAAGGAGTGATTTCCCTGTTGAGTACTTGTAGATCATAGGATGAAAAAGCTTATGGTTTTTATATATCTGACATTGATACATACTTCAACACTACCAAGTAAACAAACTGAAACCCCAAGCTCCAGCTGTCTCACCAACTTCTTTATCAATCTGTCTAAACCGCAATCGTACGCATTACTTCACAAACCTTCGCCCCTGAAATGTAAAAGAATTATAAGCCTAGGGGATACAGTGGATTGTTTCAAACTTAGGAACTAAAGTGAAATCTGTCAGGGTTCTAATCATCATAATTTTCCCTTCTTTTTTACCTTAACAAGCTTTACCCTAGGATATACCTGTCTGTCTCACCCACTTCCTTATCACTCCAGTTAAACAACGTCGGCGTGAGCCATGCTTTGACTATAATGCCATTGAGCAAAGTTCAATTGGTTTTTCAGAGATTATAGACGGCTGTCATAAATTTTTAATCTAATCCTAATATCATACTGTAACCAAAATTCCATCAAAGACAAAAGTTTCGTATTTCAGCTTTTAAGAGGATAACCGGAAGCTTAACAGACTAAGTACGAAGCCTCCAGCATTGAAACGTTATAATCCAATAAAAGAATCCTTAAAATCTAAATTCACTAATAACATTAAGATAATGTTTAACACACAGATGAGGGAAAGAGATATCCAACCAGGCTAACTACAGAGAGGTATGCAGGTCCCACCTTCTGGGTTCTGCTGTTCCTTCCATATCCGTCCTGTGACCCGCAGCTTCAGCTCTTTCCTATCCCCGCCTGAGAAGAAAAGTGCCATGTTGCGTTGTATTATGAGGCCATCATGGCTGTCTCTAACCTTCTTGTGGCTATCCCTTATGCTTCTTGGGTTGCCCTCCCAAATCAGCTTTCGGCCATTTCCACCAACCTCCAAGCTGTAGCTGTAGTTCCGAGCTTCTGTTTCATCCCCCATGAACCGGAGAAATGCCATGTAAACAGGGGCCATACCAAGCTGGAAGGCTTCAAAATGTAGACAGAAGTACTGACCAAAACAGTGGAAGACCTATCAAGGATGAAAAATAAGACAATTACTTCGCTACCATAAAAAAAACCAAAGCATACATCTTCAGTCTGCTATATAGTCACAGTTGATCTAGTCTTACGTATTGCTATCAAAGGTCCCATGATTCCTATAGTCCCATATTAACTGGGAAAGTTGAATTTTAACCAAAAAAAAAAACTGGGAAAGTTAAACCAATGAACTAATTCATGCATTTTTTAATGGGATAGTTAAACTACTCAACTAAGTATTTATATTCTAATTGGGAAAGTTAAACCAAACAAAGTCTTATTTTCAATGGCTAATGATCCAATTCCAGTATTAACTTCACCTATTGCCCCCATAGTTAAAGTGATGGTTTCTTGATTTATGCAATGCCCACTAATTTATAGTGTGACTGAACCAAGCAACTTTCATTCACCAGTTTTATACAAAGAGGAGGAAACACGTATGTACTTACAGTTAACATCCACGTGGCATTTTCTACTTCACGAGGATTAGACTTTACATAACGATGATTAAAAGTGCATCCGGAATGCATATCCACCTTGTGATCATCCCGGAGATGAGAAACAAGGAATGGAATATCCCCAACAGCTGAGCAGTCTGATCCAGCATATGGACAGTTGTATGGTCTGAAGTTACAGACAGCCTCATGTTTCAGTTTACTGTAATAGGGAAATATCTCTGAGCACCCAAGAGAGCAATACTTGCAGGGCAGTTCAAGCGATTCAGCAACCTTCTCCAGTGCTAGACACCTTATGTCACCAAGCTCCTGTCTACAAGTTGGGCACCGATTATGCACCCTTGCTTTACAGGTGGAACAAAGGGTATGCCCATTGTGACACTGCAGAAACAAGTTTAGATTTATAAGCCATAAAGGTCAACCAATCCTAGATGAATTTTACAAGCAGCTACATATTATCAATAGAATCCCCATGCTTAACCATACCAAATAAATCTAAGGATAGCAAGTCAATGAGCATCCCTTGATTTCAATAAGCATAATAAGCATATTGTAAGGTATACAACTCCATTTTCCAGAGTATGATGTAAGAGTATGTAAGAGAGGCGGAGTAATTTTATCCAGCCACACACTCTAACAAAACAGCTGATAAAACTTCCGTCCTAAGCAGCACTGAATGAATTAATGAATAAATAGTCTGAACTCGGTGCACCCAATTTCAAGCACAATACCTTTACGCAGATAAAGCACACAAAACATCTCTATCAATTGGTGGTAGTGTTACCACACTCCCACCTGTTAACCAGCTTCACTTTACAAAATAAGTGATAAATTGCTTTCAAAATAAGTGCCAAATACGTCCACAATAGCACATTCACCAACCCCAGGTATCTGTGAACTTCGAAAGCTCTTATTTGTTATTAATCCCTTTCAAACTAATATGATCCTTGACGCAAAATTCACCAACCCCAGGAACTACCACGTAAACACAATATTTAGAACGAAATCTGATTCTGTGCTTTGGTATTCCTGTTACTCGGAACTACAGAAAAGCACTTACAAGTGAAGCAAGTTTCAAAATCTTCAAGTTATTCTAGATTGCTGTAGATTGTTACAAGTGAAGCAAATTTCAAATCCTGTTACAAGCAAAACTAGATTTGTTGTTGATTGTTGTTTAACAAGGATAAATAAGTAAAAGAGTCCTAATTAACAAGGATTAATATTTAAAACAAAATTCAGAAACTGATAAGTATATTTCACCTTCTAATAATAAATTCAATAAACCTACCAAATAAAACCCAGAAACACAAACACCACATAAAATTAAATCCCACAAAAAAAAATAATCAATTCAATAAATCATCATTCCTAGCATTAACCCAAAAAAGTCAAAATCTTCAAAAACGAAAAGAACAAAGGAACCCAATTGAGGAAATTGCAAGAAGGGGCGAACCTGATGGATTGGAGGGTACATTGAATTGGTGCAAACAGGGCATTCAAGAAGCTCGTGGACGCTGGTGGTGCCGGGAATGTTATTGCCGGTGTTGCTGTGCGCCTTCGGAACTGAAACAAACTGATGAATCGGACGGCCATGGATCTCATCATCGTCAATCAAATCCAACGACGCAAGACTTTCAATGATGTCTGATTCCATTCTTCAATGGAAACAAACCCCACAACCAAAATTTGGAAACCCAAAATTTAAAAAACAAAAATTTGGGGAAAAAGATGAAATCTTTCGATTCTTTGACTGATGGGTAGATTCCCCAATTCACAATTATACAAAAACGAATAGAAAATTGGAGGGGAAAAAAAGGAAAATTTTGGAATGCATTGTGCGATGAAACCCAAAATTTTATTTTGCTTTTTCGCAAAAGGGGTGCTTGTTCATCGTTGGTTTACAGATAGAGAGAAAGAGATGGGTCACCGTCCAGATGATATCAGCCGTCTGATTAAGATCAGACGGGTGTCAAGTGCCCGTTAAAGATTCAGTTAAGGGTTTTGATTGGTAGGTTAATTAGTTAATAGAATAGTGGGGGATTAATAAAAGGGTAGGTTAATTTAGGGAGCTTATTTAAACAATTCTGATTTGGTATTTGGTATTTGGTAATTAGCTGTTGTTACTGTGGAATTAATGGGTTTTGGTAAGTAGCAAAAGACCAGGGGAAGATAATAGGATGCGAAAGGAGATCCCATCCGGATCTCTCCTTCTAAAGCTCAGGAATCAAGTGGTCTAGACTTCTAAAAATTTAATTCAATTGCTAAAAATTATTATAACTTTTAAAAGTTTTTACTAATTTCTCTATTTTTAATCATCAAATCAAATTTTAAAGGTTCGGATCACTTGATTTCTGAGTTTTGAAGAGAGAGATTCAGAGAATATCTCTTTTGGATGCCCCTTTGGTGTATGTGGTGCGTATTATTGTGATCTATTTTTTTAAATTTTTAAAATGTGGGTCTCATTTTATCCATATAAAACTTGCGTACTTGTTTGTATTATTTATTAAAGAAAATTTAATATATAGGTTCATTTAAGGCACAATTTTATATAAATTTATGACGACATTTTTTATATATAGATTTTGGAAAGTGTTATTTCACATTCATTTTACTTCGTACACACTCGTATTAATTTTTTGTTATTGAAATTTTTCAATTCATTTGATTTGGCGTCAAAAATTGAAAAGAGTGTGAGAGAAATCAAAATTGCCAGATTTTATGGTGGCGGTTTTGCTGACATATTGTATTGTGATTAATTTGGAAGCATGCCAGCCAATTAGTAGAGTTTTATTGACAAAGATACAATACAACACCAGCCAAAATAATAGCCAAACATGCCAGCCAATTAGCTATTACAATCCTCAAACAAGTATTCAAGACTAAAATTGAAAGGTTCTTGGAACCAAAAACAAGAATTGCCAATGTGAAAAGCACAACGAACAAAGCAGTGGACAAAATCATTGGCTTAAGCACGATTATGAAGAGCATACCGAGTAAAGCAATCGGCAACGCCATTGGCTTAGGAACCGACATTAGTGATCTCTGATTCTCCGACGACAAAACTTTCGCATATCCAACATGAACAAAGGAATTACGTCTTCAATGCCCAATGGTGTTTACAACACAAACATGTTATAAACTTGTATCCAACAGTTCCAGGTTGAATTGGATCCTACTTTAAACCATGGATACTTTCACATTATTGCATAAATTAGGACTTACTCCTGCAAAGGTGACTTGAAAGTATCTAAATTCATAGTCATCAAAAGCTTCTAAGCCATTTTTATCTCATTTATGAAGTTATCAAATCAAACTTACTATCGAGCTGAAATTATTTAGTCAGAAGATTTTTTTTTTTTTTTTTCAAACCGCTCAATATGTCTGTTGTTAGGCTATAAATCTTACCATCATACACGATTTCATTTAATTTAACGGTTCAATTTACAATGAAATAGCATAACATTTCAAATTATTTGATGAAGTGAATACCGCTCAACATGTCTGTTGTCACAGGAAAAGACAAATATGCGATGTTTATCAAAATTAGATAAATTGACAATGGCGTAAAAGATGACTTGACCTCAACGTTACTGCCATTTTCTTTGCAGTTTTGTTTGTGCCATGACAAGTAACCACCCAGAAAGTAGGTGAAGCCGAATATTCTATTTGGTTATTATTCATTGATTCTTGTCTGTAGACAGCGTAACCAAACTGGAACAAACCACATTTTACACATTTTTGTATTAGTTGTTATTGTCTATCATATGCAGCAGCAGGCACGAGAAGCTGCAACTCTTCTTCGAGAGCAACTTGTATGACACGGGCTGTCATGGTAACCTCTCGTGTCAATGACACAATAACACGTGAAGAAAAACTAACCACATGTTATATTATTGGCATGTGACATCGGCGGTATACCTGTGCTATATAAGTCATTTCTATCAAGAACAAACCACAACAAAAATTACCCATGAAATAAAATCAAACTTCTTATATATTGACCTCCCTTTTATGCATACATTCGAAAGAATTTAAATCCGAAAATTAACATATGTTACAAAACCGGCCGAAAGACAGCTTGGAAGTCCCTAATTGCTATAAGTCAAGAAAATGTATATTAACAATTTTACAAAAAAGCAAGTAAACCAATCAGTGACAACCCTCTCAATTAGCCAAGAAGCAGAGAAAGAAAGTGTCCAATTACCACTGATTCGGGAAGGCTTCTCGGTAATTTGCATCCTCGCCCAATGTAAGTTGTCTTCCAGTGGCAGCGCTTGCTCGTGTATTCAAAATCCTCCGAGCTAGTCTATCTTTTGGTGTTTCTTTCTTCTGCAGCAAGAAGGCAAGGGTTTTCTTTTTGTTTCTGAATGATGGGTTCCTACTAGTACTTGGCTCCCAATCTTCTCCAATAAATGCAGATTTAGAAGTTGAAGCGACTGCAGAATCTTGTAAACTCGCTTCATTGTGTTCTCGTATTTTGGCAAGCTTGGCACTCTTTAAGTGCCTTTTTATCTATTTCTCTCTTCCTTGAAAACTCTTTATCTTTCTCACGAACATTCTGCACGGCTTGTTTCGCTAACTGCTCTACCAAATTGGTCCCTAAATAATTCTCGTCTTTTGGAGGGTTCTGATTCAGTGGCTTTCCCTCATCATCTCTGGGTATAATAGGTCCATGAAATGGGCAAATTCTCAAGTCTCTTTCCCGGACAAAATTTTCCATTGCTTAATGGTGCTCGGCATGGCTGAATTTCAACCTGCTTTTCTTTGTATACAGTAGCCTGAAGATTTAACTCCGCAATCTTTTCTGCTGGAATAACTGCATCCTGATCCACCCTGCCCCAATGACTTTCAACCTCCAACCCCCGATGGTTAGCCAAAACATCCCTCTTTGAACCCCAACTGGCCAAATGAGTGCTCCAGTTCACCTCTGGAGCTTCAGCCAGAAGCTTACTCCTCAGAGGGTCTGAATTGTTTCCCCCACCTTCACAACTGAGCCTTTTACTGCCATCGCTCTCATTATCCTGGCGTTTAGGATTATCATAGCGTTTGGGAAGTCTACCTTGCACCTCCTTGGGTGTTGATGCCACAGCAAGACCTCTGGGTTTGTTACTGGGAAGACTAGAACTCCCACCCTCAGTTGTTTCAATCTTGCCTTCTTCCCAAAAATCTTCTTCCTCATGATTTACCGTGTTTGAAAGAGTGCATCCCGCTTCTTCACACTTCTTCTTCACTGATTGAATATTATTCCGGATATCAATGAACTCCTTCAAATACGAATCTCTGGACCTGTTATCAGTCAGTTCAACTTTTACAAGAACAAGGACCCCTTCTTGCACTGCAGCCAAATGCTTTACCAATATCTTGTAAAGCTCCCGCAGGGCATCAAAAACCACTTTGTTCTCACTATTCTCATGAACTTTTTCTCCTTCTTCCAATGCATGTAAGTGCAATTGCTGAAACTCATAAGAATGAAATTCCTCCATATCTTCGTCATCTAAAGGACACAACGGCACACCTTCCTCTTTGGGGCGTACAATTTCTAAACATTCCCCAATCTCATCAATAGTTGACTGTATTTCTTCCTTAATTGATGCAAAATTATTTCCCAAATTCTTAAACTTGTTCAATAAGATCTTTTTCGTCTTCCTCTCCCTTTCCCTTCTCTGCTGCTCAAGCCGAGTCGCAGTTTCCTGTAGATTTGGGAACTGATACTTAAGGGTGTTCTTAAGGTAATCAAACCCTAATCTAATCTGCTTATAGTGAACCCCAAATGAAGAATTCCACTTCTCCAGAAACTCAATCGCTTTCTTACGCAGAACAATTGCAACATTTTCCGGAGGTGGGAGCGATGAACGTATACGAAACCCGACACTTAAAGTCAGCAATTGATCCAAATTCTCCACAACAAGAGCTCTAAAGAGCTTTGACCTCATAAAAAGCTCATCAATTATAAGTAGTGTGAGGTACCGCACCTGCAAAGTTCATTTATTTTAGCAAAAACTTCTCTCCCATAACTCATCTGACAGTAGCAATCTGAAACCCTAAATTATAATACCCACGCAAACAAACAGAGATCAAACAACAATTTCCAACCAAATTGAATAACTCCCTATCCTATTTTTCACCATTATTTCCTACAATTTCAGATAAATGAAAAGGGTACGCAATTTAAAAAGATGTTGATTCAAAAATCGAACTTTCCCTTTCGAATTTTCTCGCAACCAAACACAAGATAGAAAATAAACCCTAGAAAAATACACTACAAATTACAAACAGAAACAGAGAAATTAAATATAAAGATTCAAATTTTCACGGAAGAAAGAGATATTATATGCATGAAAAGGACCTGAGAGTGCTCGCGCTTCATAAGATCCATGAGAATACGGGCGGCGAGACGGAGCTCCGAATCGGAGTAACGGACCACCGACTTGATGGCCTTGAGGAGGCGTGGGTCGACCTCCGGTTCGATGGAGGTCGTGGCGTTCTCTATCAAAACCCTAACCTTCCCTCCTTCCTCTTCTTCCATTGCTTCTGTATTCAACCAGGCCGAGGTTGGATGCTTCTTTGAGTTTTCAAAATTTGAGGATAATATATAGTTTGTGGATTTGGGTATTTTCGCGCTGGGCAAGAAAGGGGTCAAATGTCACAATCTGAAGTTATGAGGGACGCAAGAAATAAAGAGAGTTTTCTATTTAGACCCTCTAATTTTTTTGAAATCCAAAAACCCCCTCAGTGGCCAGGCCCACATTGATATTCCATTTCAAACCAAACTTGCATTTGGGTTTTAATTTTAGGAATTGTTATTAGCACTTCAAAAATTTTATTTTTCATTTCAAATTTTTTATAATTAAAAGGAAAAATATATTTATAAGTGAGTGTAGAATAAAATTTTTAGAACGTTAATAACAGTTCTCTTTATTTTATGAATATATTTTATTTGACCCAATAAAATCTAGGCCCATCATAATCAAAAGAATATGTCTTTATCGTTGATATATATTGAGTTCGGTCATCTACACCTCCCTCGGTGATTTCTTTATTTTTGATGCATTCTGAGATCAGTCACCGTGCGCTCCTTGGTGTTTGTTTACAGTTGATGCATTGTTACTTCAACGTGCATTAATGGTTTGTAATCGTTCGTATTCAATGGTTTTTTACACTCGATAAATCTTAGCTTTCATATTCAATAACGATAATTAGTCATTTTACAAGCATCAGCGATTGAACAAACACAACTCGTAGAAAAAAAATGCACCCTCACCAACTATTTCAAATTTTTCCACTTCTAGTGAAATAACATAAAGCCACCGTAATTGGCAATCATTTACGGATGTTAAGTAGCCGAAGCAATTAAAATGGACTTGAATTTAATCTGTTGTTTATTGTGTTAAAATATGAGATAGACAGGACTGGACATGATGTGTTATGAATCCACAATAAAGTAGATTTTCTAACATATCATTATATAAGGGTTACAAGTTCTGTCGTACAAATTTATGTCAATCCAATTTTATCTCTAGGGCCAAATCTCATATAAGCCACCAAACAACCATTGGTGTTGCCTTTTGATATGATGAATGGCTTAGAAACTAGGATGCATGTAGCTTCCTCTCCAGTTCTTCTTCCACGTTTCTGTAATAAACAATATCAGAAACTAAATAAATAAATAAAACAAAGTGTTAATTTAGTTCTTTGTTTTTGAAAGATCTTCATGAGTCTAATCCTCATTTGGTCCCTAATGTATCAACATTATGATGATGGTGTTGAAACTACACCAAGAAAAATCATGTGCAATCATATTGAAGAGATGACTAAAGTGGTGTGTTATCCATACATTTCTTTTTACTTTATATATATCTTTTTAATATCAGATTGACTGAATTAAAAAATATCAAATGATAAAAATTAGATAATACTAAGTTTTTTTTTTTTTTGCTTGGCTTTAACAGATAGGATTTAGGGTTAATGATTAACCTATATGATATTTGGTATGGTATACAACTGAGTGTCACTAACTTAGAAAATGGATATTCTCCAGATCTATTCTTCCTAATCTACCAAGTTTGAAGATCCGGGATATTAAATTTGATCCAACAGCTACAAATAGAAGCTCATTTTAATTATAACTTTAATTATTGGATCGAATTTTAATAGTATAAATTTTTGAACATGAATTAAAAAGAAGAGATCTGAAAATAATTTCTTTTTCCACTAACTTAGGCCGTGGTCCAATTTGCAACTAGAGCAGGAGGGCCCTACCAAAATTCAACCTTTTATCGGAAAAATATCCCCAACAACATTAGAATATCAAGCGTAGGGTAATAAAGCGGTGACATAATTTCAATCCGATCAATTACCCATGCTTGTTTTCACACTTCACCCACCCACCCTCCAGACCACTTGACATCTTAATTTTGTTTTACAGCCACAAAAACACCCAAAATATCTTTGAGGATAAAATTTTACTTTGCTCTATCTTATCTCTTATGTCTTATCATGACGTATATTATTTTAAACTTTTGTTTATTTTTATTAATACACTTAAAATATAGCATAATATCGTCTAACTTTATCATAACAAGTGAAATATTATATGGTATGCCTTTTTGTTTTCCGAATAAAAGTTTCTCCTAACTGACCACCACTGAGGTTTTTTTTTTTTATTTTTTATTTTTTGACAATTTTCCAAAGGGAGGAAGGTGGCACACGAGGAGACAAGGCGAATATATATACCGTACGTGATCGTATATTTGTAGTAAACCGACATATTCTCTTTTGGGAAAATGACACCATCTTTTCTTCTTCTCTCGCACTAGAATGGCTACAGGCATCCATGTGCTGCTCTTTTGACTTAGAAAAATGATACTTCCTTGGCCGCCTGGAACACGGTCACTGAGACCACTGCCCTTACTTTGTCAGCCTCTCATTTTCTAACCCCCAAACTGCCAAATCCCAATAAATCTCAGGATTATCTGCCCCTCTCACTTCCGGTACTCTTTTATACCTTCATGTTTTGTATAATCACGATTAACTCATGTTAATAAAGATAATAAGATAAAAATGAATAGTAATATAAAATATTGACATGACTTAACCGTAACCATACAAATAGGAGGGCAGGAAAGGACATCGAAAGTGTGGGAGGGCAGACAATTCTTGTCCATTAAATCTTCCCTACTTCTGACCTTATACTATTCTTTTACAACACACTCAATTCCTAATCAATGCACATTATACAAGGGTTTTTCACTATCAAAGGGAGGGGTTTTGAACTCGAAACTTCTTCCCATTTTAGTTGGATAACAAGAAGTATCACTACACTAAGAATTAAGTTATTTGTCGTGTTTAATTTATCTTACAAGTAGTGGAGATTTCAAACTTGAAGCTTCTTTTAGCTTTTGCTAGCAATTTTGGGTTGTAGTATTGCTGTGCTAGGAACTAGCTCATATCGACCCTTGAAACACGATTTTCAATCCCATGGCCCATTAAAAGAGTACTAGCAAGCACGTCGTGTTTGTATAGGTTTTGTGTCATACTCGTTATTTTAACAAATCGTATCATGTTAAACATGTTAACTTAACGGGGATTTAACAGGATAACGATCCAACCCGTTGATGGATTGACTCGAAATTTGTTATTTTCTGTCATTTCAACCGGGTTAATTGTCATGCAAATAATTACCATGCCTAATGTCTAAACCTGTCAAAATATTTGTACTGTTGCCATTTATGTGTCATACGCGTTATTTTAATGAATTTTTAGCCTGTGACAAGTGTCCAATAACAACTTAATTCGTTAACAAGTTTTTAACGGTGATTCGATAATGATCTAACTTGTAAACGGGGGACTGGAACATATTATTGTCATGTCGGACACGTGTAAAAATTGTCAAGCCTAGTCATCATATCATTTACTTATTGTCACTCCTCAATTTTCAAACATAAGAGTCAACATGGTAGGGTTAAGAGGAGCAAATCGGTCAAGAAAATTATTTAAAAAAAAAATATCATTGCTAATCGAATCTTACAATAAATCAAAATTAAAGCAATTTAAACAATATTTAATTGAATTACCCTTTTATATATTAGAGAGTAATAATTTAGCAGTAGATATTACATAAAAATAAACACCACGTGAACATTGTAACTTGTAACCTGTAATAAGCTAACCAACACAAAACACCTCTAATTCCAGCAACGAAGGTTTGCTGTTCCTGCTTTCATTTCATATCAAATTAAAAATAAATAAAAAAGCCAAAAGCCGAAAGCCAAAAATAAAAATCAGGGAAATTGGGTTTTTTTTCGTTTCCCATCACGCCGCTACCAAAATTAATTATGCGCACCCGCGTGGAGAAAACCCGACCCGGGAGCCTGCCAGGTCATACACGACCCGGAAACCTTGCTGCTGGATGTTACCGATTATGGACAGCCCGCCCATCGTGCCCGCGAAAGCAAAGCAGAAGCTGCCGCTGCTGTCCACTGGGATCAGGTAGTTCGTTGCCGGCAGTGAAACGTCGGCGTTTCGGAAATGCAGCACCACGGTGGGGACTTTGACTTCGGTCCTTCCGGACAAGTCGAAACACGTGTCGAATAGGGAGAACTGCGGCCCCCGCTTCAGACCAGAAGTACCGGCCCGGAAAGCGTCGCGGAGAGCGTTGTAAGCGGGTCGGGTTAATCGGGTCACGGAAGTGCCCGAATCGAGAATGACCCCTCCGTTTCCTGCCCGGTCAAGTTTGAACAGCGATGCCGTGATTCCCGGGACACGTGTCCCGCCGACACTGATACCGATGAGCTCGACGTAGTAAAACGTGTCGAGTTTAGGGTTCGCGAGGAGGGGAGTGAACCGGGCGGTCCGGGAAACGGCGGAGTCACCGAAGACGACCGAGGATGGTTTGGAAGAAGCGGACCGGTCCACAAGACAGTAGGAGAATTTCCGGTTGAATCGGGAGCCGGTCAGGGCGGGAAATGATAACTTCCCCCGGCCGAGCCCCAACAGCCCCGCCGCGCCGACGAACAGGCCCTCGTTGTCGTGACCGCATCCGATTGCCACGCGTCCCACTTTGGTGCCGCGAAACGTCAGCGTTTCAGTGGAGAACTCCCCGAAAGTGAAGGAGCCGTCCCCGTAGGAGACTTGGTACAGGCAGGTCTTCTTGGAATTACAACTGGGGGAGTCCAGTTTCCGGCACAGAGGGGACCCACAAGGGATTGTGGCGAAGGATCTGGATTTTCTCGGGTCGAAAATCGGGTCGCTCTGTTTGTAGCAGCGCCTGCAGGGGGCGCACTGGAGCCACACGACGTCGCTTCCGGTGTCGAGGACCATGTAGACGTACCTGGGAGGCGTGCCCACGCCGAGGCGCGTGAAGTACTCGCCGCTGCCCTGCGAGAGTCCGGAGACAACGGAGCTGCTGAAGCCCCTAATAGGCACGCGACCGCCGCCTCTTGTGGTTCTGTTTGGGGAGGCGGCAAGGGAGGTCAGCGTCTTGACCCTGAAGGCGTCGCGCTGGAGGCGGAGGTTGAAGAGTTGGGTGGGGGTTTTGTTAAGCGCCACGGCGTCAATGTGGTGTAACTGTACGGACAAGGTGTTTGGGGTTGGGGTGGGGGTGGCGGAGGGGGAGTTGGGGTCGAGTTGGGCGGTTTCGGATTCGGAGATAGTGTCTGTCCATGAGAGGGTGGTGGGTGGGGTGGGGAGGGGGTTGAGGAGGAGGGTCTGGTGATCGAGGGCGGAGGAGAGGGAGAGGAAAATGGCGGCGAGGGAAAGGAAGAAAAGGGGAAGTGTTGCCTTCCCTTCCATTTTTGAGAAGTTGTGGAGTTTTAGAGAGAAAGGAAATGGAGTTTATAGGGAAGGGAGAGATGGGAGAGAGGACGAGTATAAATAATTGGAGTGAGAAAGTGATACTGACTGAGAGTGTGAATGCTGAAAAAGGCAGTTATAAGATTGGAGGGAGTGAAGTTAAAACAGTTTTTGGTGGGAGGGTAGAGATGTCAGATTGTCAGATCTAATATGTTATCTAGGAGATATATGAATGAAACAACCAAAAAATGTCACAAGAGTATTGCTACGTTTACTATTTAGTTAGTATTATTATTTGTATTATATTTTTTAGAGGTATTTGTTGATTTATTTTTTGAACTTGTATAGAACTGTCAATTTATTATTTGGATTTTAATTTTAACCGATTACCTCTGAAATTTTTATAATTAGTCAATTTCTCTTTGAACTTTAATTTTAACAAATTACTCTCAAAACTTTTATAAATAGCCAATTCTCTTCTTGTAATTAGATTTTAAAAAATTTCATTCAATTTTTCATCCATCTATTTTTTTTCATTTTTTTTTCCCTCATATAGTTGGTTCCGTGACCAAGATGAATGGAAAACTGGATGAAAATTTTAAAATCTAACGTCATGGGAGAAATCGGCTATTTATAAAAATTCAGGGTGATAATTGGCTAAAATTAAAGTTCAATAAGACAATTGGCTAATTATAAAAGTTGAAAGGGTAGCAATCAGGTAAAATTAGAGTTTATAAAAAAATTGGTAGCTCCATACAAGTTTAGGGGCAAATTGACAAATATGCCTACTTCTTATAGAGATAGGGGCTACAAATGCATGTAGGTTCCCTTCTTCATTAGAAAAATTGTATAATTGATGGTACAACTAAGTAGTAAGTATAGTATTATGAAATTAAAAGTAAAATAAAACTAGCTTCCTACTATTTTTGGTATATTTAAGAAAAAAAATCATTAATTATTTTCTAACAAAAAGAAAGTAATTTAAAAAGACAGAAGTGACCTGGAGTTTAGGTGGGGTAAACAAATAGGCCAAAGTCCATCCGGAAGTGTTGGTAAAAGTTGGGTTTGTATTAATGGTTGTTAGTGAATAATTAATTGATGGGGAATTGAGTTGATTTCAGCTGGCCAGAAATACTAATGAGACTTTATTAATGAATAATGATTTTAGATTGCATGTTTATTTTAAGGTATTGTTTTATATCACATTAAATTTGGATTGTATTATCTCCACGTCTCTTTTTATTTCATACACAATCTCTTAATATAAGACCGTCAAAATTACTGAATTAAAAAATATCAAAGTACAAGAATTAACAAAAAATATGCGGATAACACACTCATAAATTCTTTCACTAAAAAGCAAAAATCCTTTCATTATCTTTGCTTTAAGCACATGGGGAAGCTTTGTTCTTTATTTTATCTTTAGCTAAAACGTGCGGACTAGCACTAAAGTAGTTATTTTTAATAATTTTGAAGGTACGAGAGAAACTTTATTCATAAATGAAGAAATAAGCGTAATACTTAGCTTCAATTACTTTTACTTAAAAGAGCATTTTGAAAAATATTAGACGACTTTTCAACTAATTTTAAATACGCGAGGATTGTTAAAGATGATTTTATCAATCGATTTGGAATTCTGCCACCTTTACAATACTCCAAATGGTGGACTCGCAGGGCCAAAATCCAACAATCTCGGCAAGATTTGATGTTGGTTGGTTTGTCATCATATACATGACTCGTGCAACCTGACCCAGCACAAATTGTTCATTGTTTATTTATTTGATGATTAAAAAAATAAGAAAAAAAGCAAAAAGTTTCCGTGTAGCCATTGACTTTTACTCTTGTAGCTCCTTGCAAGTTGAAAGACAAATTTTGGTGCTTCCCGTGATTGTACTTCTCTCTCTTGTTATTATGGGAATTTTAACAAAAAATTCACAGAATTATTCATTTTAATGAAAAATCACATTTTTACATTAAAAATTTAATTCTGGTACTATTTATTTTACCCTTTATTTTTTCTTTATCGTTAAAACTCAAAGTTTTCAAACCTTTTTCATTAGTTTTTTTTAATTATTTATGCACGATAAACTTAAGATTACAACGAAATCTAAACATCATCAAGATTTATTGCTCATAATATAGGATGCTTCTATAATTGGCCGTTACAAATATATACCGTCATGACATTCTTACGGGTCTATAAAACCTCCTTAGCCAACTAGAGATCAAATATTACTAGATCAACTCGGTCGTCCGCAACTAAGATTAGCTAAAACTAAGCACCACAAGGCATAAGGTTCACTTCACATATATATAGTTTTTTAAGTCAAAATGGTTTCTGAGATTTGCATAACTCCTTACTTTAGTCCCTAAGACTTAGAAATTGACAGAATTGGTCCCTTAGTTTGTTAACTATTAATCATTTTGGTCATTTCATGAAAAATCTCTATTAAATAAGGATAAAATGATAGAAATACCCTCAATTTTGTCAAATCATTTTGACCTATTATTTATTAAATTGAATGTACTTTTGTCATTTTAGTCCTTATTTACATAATTTTTCATAGAATGATCAAAATGGTTGATACTAGACAATCTCATGAACCACTTGTATTGATTTCAAATCTCAAGAACCAAAGTGAAGAGTTATGCAAATCTTAAGAAAATTGAAAAAATATATATACATAAAAAAAACATTTGTAGAACTACATTGTGTAACACAATTGATATTCATTGATTGGTACTAGATTTATCAGGATGTGATTCTACAACAGAGATACCATCATGCAACTAAACGAATTGGATAGAGGTTTCACTTTGGAATATATGCCTCACATTTATTAGACGGATGACGCCACTAAAATTATATAAATACATAACTAAGAATTGGGTGGATTGGACAAAATTTGCTTGAGATGGTGTTTACTTTTAAACTTTTGGGTAATGTGGTCTGTGAACTGGAAAAGAGAGGGTAAATTAGGGAAAAGAACGTACCAAAATTTTGTCGGCACTGTAGACAAAGGGACTTTTGGATATACTTGTGTGAATGTCTTTGGGAAAAGGATCATCTCCTGAAATTTTTGCGAGGATATGGGAAATTCATCAATTATGGTCATTCATCGTACAACATGTAGTTAGAAATTATTTTAAATTTTAAGTTTTAAATTGAATATAAATAGTATCTAATGAAAATTGACCAAACAATGTACGATGAATGATCGTGATTGATGGATCTCCCAAATCCCCACAAAGGATCTGAAGAGGATCCTTTTCCATATGTTTGCAATAATCTTCTTATACATAAAGGCAGCAGGGTTTTTGAACAATGGTTTGTGGGATCACATGCTTCACCAAAAATAAGTGGACAAAAATGCCTCTTAAATAAAAAACTTCAAGAGCATTTCAAAATAATGCATAAAATGTGGCAGAGGTATTTTTGTCATATAAACAGTGATAAATAGTGTTTTTAATATTTAACTATTTACTGTACAGTGATAAATAGTATTTTTAATATTTAACTTTTTCCTGCACAGTATTTTTTTTTAATTTTTAATTTTTATAATTAGTAGCTCACAATGGCCTAGCAATAATGTGATTTAATCAGTTGTTGATTAAATATTATTTTCTCTATTCTTAATGTAAATTCAATAGAATGTAGATCAAAATTAAAAGACCGATTTTATTATGTAGATCAAATATTATCATTTAAAACGTGTAAGTTGCGCGTTGCACACTGTGGTTTAAAAAATACCTTATGCACACGTGTGAGGTGGGTTTTAGGCTGAAGATTGAGGACTTTAGAGTAGGACTCTATGAATATGGCGAATTATTTGTGTGACACAGGTACAACATTATAATAATATTGAGTAAATTACAAAAAATTACCTTAATTATATGTCGAACCAAAATCTTACACATAATGTTTTAAAACATTGCAATGTCATACCTCAATTTATGAATTCGTTGAAATGTCATACCTCTATTAATTTTTCTGTCAATTTGGTTGTTAATGATGACGTGACAGGAGAAGGGGCCCTTTCGTCAACTAGAATAAAAAATTAATTAATTATTTATTTATTTATAAAAATCAATAATTAACAATAAATTAATTAATAAAAAAATAATAATTTGGTCGTTAAATGATGACGTGGGGAAGGAGTGAGCCCCACTCCTACCACGTCATCATTTAACAACCAAATTGACAGAAAACTAAAAAAAGGTATGACATTGCAATGAATTCATAAATTAAGTTATGACATTACAATATTTAAAACATGAGGTATGAGATTATGGTTCAACTCATAATTAAGGTAGTTTTGTGTAATTTCCCGTAAAGTTAATATGAGAGCATTACCTTATAATTGAAGCCAACTTACTAAAACCGTGTGGGGGCCGGCAAAGCAAGCACTACAGCTAAAAAGAGCAGGAGAAAAAAGAGGAATCATCAACTGGAAACTGGAAAAAGCACTAAAGCGTGGCAGAACTCGACAAAAGCATTCCAGCACTTCAAATTTAGGTAACAAAAGACAGGTCTGCATACCCAACAAGAACTCTACTTCTTTCAGCTTTCTAAAACACCCAAGTTGGTAATTAGAATGTGTCGAACTATAATTTGTAGATGTATCTTTTGTTGACTAAAGCCACATACTAGTTAGTATGCCGCATCATAGTCCAACACATATTAACACTTTGAGTTTAGGCAACAAAAGACACGTCTGAAAATTATAGTCTAATGCATACTAACTATTAACTACTAAGCTTTTGATACACTCAAGTTCAATTTGATAAGAATTATACTTCTTTCAGTTGCAAATTATAGTTTGACACAAATAATACTGTCTAATAGCATTAATAGTTTATGTTATTTACTCGGATTTTCACTTTGTAGTTTATTGGGTTACTCAATTTTCGTCTCTGTTGTTTCGTTTTGCTTTCACACCAGTTCAATCCTTCAACTAGGTTGATTATTCCATTCAATTTGGTAGACATCTTCTCATATGAAAAGCCCAAGTTGGAAGGAATCTTGTCTCATTTGACGGATGGAACTAGAACGGTGAAAGTGCAAAAACAAAAAAAGTTACACGAACGTACGTGAAAATCCGAGTAAACTAGATGGATTATTAATGCAATTCAGCCAAATAAAAAAATCTCATTAAAAACACTAGACATAAAGTTTATACGCACATATCAAACTCTAATTCGTGCACGAGAAACGCAGCTAATCTTCTTTTTTAGTTAAAGGTAACCTGTAACCACACAATCATTCTTGATAAGAACAGAAAGGCAAGCCATTTATTTTTTTCATTTGATTTGGTCACCACAAGTTGGCTTTCAGAAGGGATACATACCCAATTCACATCCACTTCATCCAAAAATGGAGTACTTTCAATACAATGTGGCATCTTGCACAAAAGCATTAAGTTGCAGATAGTGACATCCTGCACTCTAATCTTCTACAGACACACCACCACTGCAGCATTACTCCTCCCTGGACCAGGCCCCACTCTTCTCACCGGTTTTACTCTCGAGTCGAATATGCAGCTTTGCACATATCATGGACTGTTAGGCCAACAACACTCACTGCTGTCATGGCTTCCATTTCAACCCCAGTTTTCCCTGTTGAACTCGCTTCCGCTTCAATGTCCGCTTCTATGTTGTACGCACGTACCTGAGACCGAGAGGAAGAGAATGCATCGACTGGCGAAGAACGCGGTCTTCGGTGGCCTTTGCCAAGAGAAGCCAACTACTAATTCTTTCAGGCCGAAGTCTAATTATTTTTATTTTTATTTTTTTACAATGTTATTGACATTTTAAAAATTTTATCGTACACTTCTCATACAGTTAATATATGAGAATGTTTTCATCCTCAATGTCACCTAGGTTTGTTACAGTAAAATCCACCGCCTTATTATCACTGAGTTTTTTTGTGCTAAAATCCAACGCCTAGGGTTTTTGTGTGAGGATGAGTGTAAATTTAAGGGATTATTATTATTTTTTTTTTAACAAACGATATAATCTATAAGAGAGGAGGTAAGTTTAGCCTCATAATAAACAATAATGTGTTCTAATTCGTCTTTAACGAGAATTAAACTTAAGACATCTCACTTATAAAAAGAGAATAATACTATTAAACCATAGTATTAAATAACAATCGAATGAAGCTTTTAACAAGGCAAAGTTGCGCCTCAAATTCATGTAATTTGTTTTGTTGCTTTGTTGTGCAACCTTATTTGAAAAATCGAAATTGAAATGAATCTTACCCTATTTTAACAAATAAAAACAAATCCTCAAAATTATAAGAAAACTTTAATTCAGCTGCAATGTGAGAAGAAACTAAGGAATGCAGACATATATCCATGTCCAAAGCCCAAAAGCACAGAATAATTTATAAGAAAAACTAATGAAAAAAACCTGAAAACTTTGAGTTTTAGACAAAATAAAAAGTAAAGTGAATAGTATTATGATTAACTTTTTAATAAAAAAAAAATATGATTTTTTGTTAAAATAAACAGTACCGGAAGCTTTTCGTTAAACTTCCCTAATTTATAATATAATCTCCATGCAGATTGAATCAGCGAACGTTTCATAAGACAGCATACATTAACTTCGGTGTTAGTTTTCATGGGTTCATACAAAAGCAGAGGACAAAAGGCCTTTGAATTTGCTGTAGTCTGCAGACTAAGAAGCTTTTGTGGTGCTAGCACAACCGGTTGCTCCTACTCTTCATTTTTCGAATGGGCCGATGCACTACAAGAAGGCCATACTGTTCGTTAGTCGATTATAACAAAACTTAAAAGAATAGAACACAAATCTTCAAGGAAGAACTAATTAATCAATTTAGAACAGGCAAATCAAATAGAGCACAATTCAGAGTCAGAGGCATGTTGGTCACTAGAAAATTGTGATAAACTCTGGAACTTTCAAGGAGAAAAATGTGTCATAACATGAGTAGAGAAACAGTCTAGTTAAAAGAGAAGACGTATAAAAAGTTCGCTAAAGATGAGGCGTATAAAAAGTTCACTAAAAGATGAGACGTATAAAAGGAGTCATGAAGTCTGAACACATGCGATCTTTTAACTGAACTGTTTTATCAACTAAACATTGTCCATGGCGACCAAACACAAGTTTTTCTGCCAACATCTTAACATCATACGGTTGAATGGCTATTACAAATCACAGCATTTGAATTTGAGACCAAAAAATGAAATTGGTTCTAAAACCAGGAGCTGATTTCTACACACCCTTTTTTTATTTCTGGCCATCGAATTGATTAAAACAAACACAAAAAAGGGACAAGAAGATTAAACAGAGGTGTATTCGAGGAGAAAAAAGGATGTGTGTTCATCATTTCCCTTGAAAGTAGAGCATTGAAAACCATGGGACTGAAATTTAGGTGCAAAATATCATTAAAGTGAGTATACTTACAATGGCAAAGTTTCTGCGCATATGCAGCTCAATGTGTAAATTTCATGATGTGTTTGTGTTTGATTGCCACCATATGCTCCCATTCGTTGTCTAGTGTAGATACTTTCCATTTTGGCTTCTTAAATAATAACGTAGTTTAGTTTCGAGGATTGTATAGAATAACCCGCTAGATTCCAATTTATGTTAAAAATGAATGGATGCAACTCCCAAACTTCGTCCAGTTTAAAGGTAGAAGATGGATTAGTTATGAAGGAAACTTATCCCTCCAAGTGCTACCACATCCATTACTTCCTTCAACATCCAGTGAATCTAGTGAGTTATCCAATCCAATCCAACCTTAGACAACAAGGCCAATCTTTCTTGCCTTCGGTGTAATTGTCAATACATTGTTGTGGGCTTCAAAACAAAGGTTATTCGCGAAGCAACTCCAACATTGTCAATGAAGCCTTCACACAACTGCAACCCTTCGAACGTGCACTTCAATAGACACATGGCACAACCAAACAATCGTTTGGCTGCTAGGCCTGTTCTTAACTAGTTTGTTGCAAAACCACTAAAAGCCAAAAGCTTAGATGATTAGGAATGAGTCAACAATGTATGTCAAGCCAACACCCATCTTCACGTGGTTCTTTGTGTGCAGCTCCACCCTACAACACATGGACATGCAAACAAGTGCAAACATAGAAAAGAATATAGTTGAAGAAGAGCACCTTGCAAATTGGCAAACAAGTGAGGAACATCGTTTAGAGATTTCGAACCCAAAACCTCTTGCAATCGAACCTCTAGATAAAGAAAACTCGAGTTGATACGATGAGTTTGGATGGAGAAAACAAATATGGAATTGGAACAAAAGTTTCCTTTTATTGAGGGATCCTTTGAAGGACTTCTTGTGGGAACCACTATGGATGATCAGAACCGTTTATTTTTCAGGTATTCCCTCAAAAATCATCTTGCAAAAAATTAGACAAATTAGAAACATGATACAACTCCAACCACACAAAAGTGCTTTTGGAACACACAAAAGGTTGCACCGAAGGAGCACTTGGGGCTCGTGTAGGACTACTACATGAAGCACTTTTGCCCATAAGCGGTTTCATTATAAGTGTTTTAGAAATTTAGTAAAAACCCATGAGCACATAACCCAAAACCGCTTTTAATATTTTCTCGAAACGTGGTTCAAAAGCGCTTTTGGTTGTCAGAAAAAACTTTCAGCCCTTCTCGAAGCAATCCCATAGACGCCTTAAATTTGGCAAATATGTGAAATACACACAACGATATATTTACATTACGAAGTGGGGATCTAAGCTAAGCCACACAATAGGCAGCCATAATAATTCGGCATCGAAATTTCGCTTACGAAAGTCGAACCTAAGACCTCCCACTTAAAATTTGAAAGAAACATGACTAGATTGTAGTAGTGTCACCTACAATTACTAATTTGTATGTGCCCGTTTAATAAAATGTTTTCTACATTACATATGATATGCTTGTACTCACCAGCTTCTTCCATCTTAATAGGTCTAAATTCATGTGCTGTTTTAATTTCTATTTTACTCGAAACATTAACAATTTCTTTCAGAAAAGTCTTTGAGAAAGATAATAAAATGATCACATATTCTCCTCTAGGAGATGCAAAAAATTCATAATGCAAGAGAACTTCTTCACCAATTTACGCCCTTACTCAGTAGGATGGTGTTGTGATCCCTTAATTTTGTTCTTTCATTTGTTGTAGATGGGCCATTATCTAGCAGAATGTTACATCTCATGCATTCAAACACAAGCATGTGTCTTCAATTCTTAAGACTGACCACTTTATACCAACCATTTGGTGGAGAGCATGAACACAATCTCTCACCAGAAAGATTCTGGGAGATGTTTCACGTTCCAACTTTAATTAAGAAAATCATGATATAATGGTCCTTTGGCATATACCAAATAATATCTATATACCATGAATAATGCGGCAGCAAAGTACTCACCAAGGACCAGCCAAGATATAATTCAAAACTTAGAACAAATAATAGACTTGAGAAGTAATCAAGCCAAGGGTCTTATCTGAGGTGTTTGTAGAGGAGTGTAAAGGACAAGACATAGGTAGGTCTCTGGTCTAAATTTTCTTATTGGGGAAAAAGGGAACTGAAAGTTAAGAAGCTAGGTCAAATATTCATGTTTTCCAAAAAAGTTAATTAATAATTTTTTCCTCGTCTCCACAGTGAGCGTAGGATAACTATATATGTGTGTTTTCCTTCATGAGCCTAGCAAACATGTTAGAAAAGCAAGAATATTTGTGTGCACCCACTCGCGCAACACACAATGTGAAAACGACATGTCACACCTTAATAAAGGGAGGTAAGATGGTAACCACAACTGAAATCTTAGCAACACATATAAAAAGAAAAGAAAAGAAAAGAAAAAGAATCTTACTTGAGCCCTGACATCAGTTTTTTGGTTTCTCTTACAGCTGAACTTACAGCATAGAGTGTCATCTTTTTCACCTGTTAAAACAAGGAAAGAAAAACCAACAGATCTTATGAGACAATTGCAGAGGTTTGAGCTGAAGCAAATCTTCAGAGAGAAGAATTGTGTGGCTGATCAGTTGGCAAATTGGAGCTATGACATGGATCTAGGTCTTCACGTTTGATGAGCCTCCTGCCTGGATTGGAATGACTCTTATGCATTATATTTTTAGGATTGTTAAGACTCGTCATGTCTTTTACTGATTTGAGCTTCTGTATTTGGGTTGGTACCCCCGTTATTTATAAATTAAAAAGAACATAAGACAAACCAATAGAAACTAAGAGGTAAAATGAGGTCATCACGCAGTCTGGCCTATGTGATAGACGCCCACCAACCTAAATTAAATATTTGAAACGCTATATCTGATGGTGTAGTTCAGGTGCATTTGAGTACTAAATATTGAATGCCTAATATCTCCTAATAATTTGAGTCTAATATGAGTTTTCTTTTAGAAAGAATCTTATATGAGTTAACCGGTGGATAATTTACAGTGTCAACTAAGTGGACTAAAACTAGATAGCCCTTCCACATGTGCCGAGTGTTTTCTTCTACTGTGCAAACGATGTGACAGTTGGCAGAAAAAAATGTATTTATGTATTTAATTTCTTTTAGTATTTTACCCTTCTTAAGTCAGATTACTTTTAACAATTTTATTCTAGCAGGGCCTATTTGAAATTTCAAAATTTACACCAAAACCGAAACTTCTCCCTTTATAGTAGTATAGGTAAAACAAATGCGCGAAATTTGAAACTCTGGATTATGTCCCGCAATCCTCTTGAAACTTCAGTAAGAAAAGACCAGCACAGTCAACTGCATTTGGCAGCAGCCTCCTTAACAGTATTCTACAGTTACTACTAAATAAACAATACTTAAAATTACAAAATCTATAATGCAATGAAAGACATGAAAGTAAATTGAGATACCTCCAATTTGTCTTCCTTGGCTCTATGGCTTTTTGGGAGCAAACGAAACTCTTCAGTCAGTCGAAGACATTCTTCAAGACTTTCAGGAGATACAAAGTCAAGTGCTACCTTTATACAAGACTGACAGGAACATTGAAGATTAGGACAAACCCATAACTTTTTTCTGTACGTACAACAGAAATCTGTAACTTCCTAAAACGAATAATTCATTTACATGTATTAGTAATTACTTGTGTATTTCTAACTTGATGAGGACATCCTGTGGGAATAAAAACTGCCTCGCCAAGGTATTGTTTAAATGTCCAAGGCTCCACATCTGCATATAAAATCACACGTTAACTATATTGTAGCAGAACACTGCAACTTATCAAGACCAATTGAAGGAAAAACAAGATAAGATTCTTACTGAATTCCTCCTTTAGTTGTTTCTTATGTCTCTCATTCAAGTAAAGGGTCTGATCATGAATAGGATGAACCACCTGAGACAACGTGCACAACACATGTAAAGGAACTCTAATGTACAATGTTCGTATGGCATAGTGACAAATACACGCATCGAAACTTACAGAATCTACAGGATGATTATTAATGTGGCGAAATTCTTTCTTGTGTTTTTCCAAGTATTCCCTTAACTTGGGGACATCCTGGCGGCGAAAGATGTCCCAAACAGCACCACATTGGGCAACATCCAAACTGTCATTACTTTCAAGAGAATCCTTTGTTTGTGTCAGGTTTGACTCTTTCACGTTCATATCATGAACCGCATCATTTCCTGGAAACAAAGCCCCTGAAGAATCTTTCCCACCAGATCTCTCAATCATCATGTCCGTGGAACATTGAGCGTGTTCTTGCTCTGCTTCAACTCCATTTGCTTGAGGCAAGGTGGTTTGTATCAATTCATTCCTCTGATGGTCAAGAGTTGGAAATTTTAATTTATGTATTTCAGAAGTATCAGGAGGTTCTGGAACATGCTCAGTTCTATCATATTCAACAGTATCATCTGAATACTTGGAATCTGACAACTGAGAAATCCTACATGATTGTTCGTCATCCATTTTTCTTTTCTTCCCATCTTTCTGCATTAGATGATCATTATCCACAATGTTCTCATTTTCAGTACATTCAGCACCCATGATCTGGATTTCGCAAGATTTGTTTGATGATTTTCCTCCAACTGTCCCCTTATCCTTATCTCTTTCTTTGTACAGTTCACGCAAGTCTTCAGCTTCATGCTTCCTCTGCAAACCCTTTATCTTTTTGTGCTGCCAAGGAGTGATCTTCACTCCTGTTGTGTGAGTCAGAACATTTACCTATGCAAATCAAATAACTGTTGTCAACCCTTTGTAACTAAATATATACAATTCAATAAAACTTAATAGATGGAGAAAAACTGTAGACCATAGTCAATGAAAATTGAGGTACAATTACAACTTCAACTAATTAATCCCACCCCAAAGTTTCAATTCAGGTAGCATGTATAATGTAGTGTGGCATAAGTGTACACTGTTAAGGCATGATGGGACGAATATTACATACTGAAACTGAATAGTTTTCGGGTCCACAAGGACCACAACTTCTCCAAGACATTACTAAGGCAACATAAGAAAGTGCAATACCATGGAAATAGCCATGATTTCATGGAATGATGCTAACATCAGAATTAAGGCTTAAGCCAATGCAACAAAAGCACATATACATTGAAACATTAACTTCCAAAAGTATCTTTCTAAAACTATTCTTCCCTTGTAAAAGAACCATGCCTTTTGAGATAATAACAGAAACGAAAACCACGCATAATTTTCTTGACAAAAGGCTCAACTGATAATTGTGCACCATTACCACGCAAATGAGTGTACTTTATTTTAAAACATACAAAGCACCATACAACATGGGTGGACATAAAATTGTGTCCTTAAGATCCCAAAACAGAAGAATATTAAGCAAGAGATGACCTACAAATCATAGTAAAAAATGAATCACCCAGATGTTTAGAAGGATGATTTATAAAGAATGAGTAAGTGTCAATTTTTAAATAAGTTTTAAATGATAACAGTGGAAAATTTACAATGTAGTATTTTGGATAACAAGGTCAATTATGTTGGACACATCAAGCAGAGGACAACAAAGTTATAGCATGAGCAAATCAAACTCTCTAAAACTTAAGCAAAGCTTTTGCACAGATAATAACAGACATACTAGTGGGAAAACATTACCGCATCAGACATATCACAGTGTAGCTTTGTCACTGAATCACCTCTCCCAAGCTCTTCAGAGAATCCATAGGCAATGTATGTTTTGGGTCCCATATCAGGTTTCAATGAATCTTCAGGAAGTTTTGTGGCAAGATTAAGACAACCCACTTCTGGATATTTTGGATCAGTATAGTCACTGAAAGGGAGTGCAGCAATAAATTCAGAGCAATGCCTTGGCAAACGCTCTTCAAATAAAGTTGATGAAGGCCAATCCTTCAATTTCAACATCTCAGGCCACCCACTTCTATGTATACGACCCTCCAAGTAGCCCATGAAAAACTGGTGAATATTGATTTCCACCTGCACAAAAGTGAGGGTCAGGATTTTTAATTCTCATAGAGATGTTTTAAGATTATTCTCATTATCTACAAGTAATTCAATTAGTTTTCTATAACTGACCTCACACCAATCAAAGCAGTCAAGGGCCTTCACACTTCGTGTCTCCTCTTTAAACTTTACATTGGCCCCCGTTTCTCTAAAAGCCCTCCACATGACCATAGGTTCCCAACTAAGACCAGATGTCTTGTCAAGAACATTTCTGACTATCACAGGTTCCCCATTTATCCAGTGCCTCTGAAAATGTTGAATTTCATCATCTGGAATGTCAATAGCATTCGGACAGTATAAGAAGTTATCATCACTGTTTTCCCTGAAAGCCGCCTGCCTCACTTCAGACTGTATATTATTATGTTCCTTGGAATCATTTGGCTGGCACAAGGAGCATCCTTGAGAAACATCGGTGTCTTGCATCTTGAAGTCAATAGTAAAATCCTCAGCATTTTTTAACAGTTGCATTACCCAATTAGCTTTACATTTGCGCCTCAGTTCCAGATTTACCTGGCCACAACCTCCACACTCTTTTGGAGGACAAGGAATGCTGCCATCAGGATTCGCTTTCCAATTAGGAAGAGTAAAAGGCACATCAGCTTTAGGATTATCCGAAGCAGGGGTAATCTGGCCCTCCCACACATGTCTTTTCCTTTTCATGTTAGTATTGCCTCTATTTTTCACTTGTTTATGAGCTCTTTCTACAGATTGTTGGTGAGATGTTTCTGCTTCACAACCTCCAGGTTGACAACCTTCCCTTAGCTCTTTGCAACAAGTGAGACAGAGATCATAGGAACAATCGGGGTTGGTGCAGCTTCTGTGGAAATCAACAATAGATGTAGAGCAATTGTCGCTGTCATATAAGACAACACACATGGTCATGAAAAGTTGAATTTTTTTAATAGTAATGATGGTTGTATAAATAAAAACACAATGAACATTTTTCTCCCTAAATAATGTGCATGATCTATGGGCTGCATATAGAAAAGAAATTGAAACACGACACTAATCAAGAAAAAGGAAATTACTATATGTATGTATTATATGGGAAGCCAGTCACGAAATCACAACTTAACTTTCTGCTTACTGAGAACAGGCAGGGATTCCAGATACACCATATCAACAATATTATATAGCTGAGACCACTATTTCCATTAATTCAAAAATTGCTTATGGATCCTCAGAACCCATATATTGACACCCAAGCCCTCTCCATTCCTTAAAATCCTTTCTTGTAGTATCATTGAAATGAAAGGAGTTTAAACCAGGCAGTACAAATTCTTGTATCTAGAAGTTGCAAATTTACTATAGACTGACCGACAATAGGTATTCAACACAGATGCTAAAAGAAATGTACTTCTCAGTTTCGTTGAAGGGAGCCTGGGCATACCAGTAAATACGTTCTTTTGGGTCTATTTTAGTTCTTTGTATCCCCCCTTCAGTCAGTTGAACACCTACCAACGAAAAAACCATAAATGAGATTAAAAACAGTCCCCTTGCCAAGGAAGTAAAAACTAAACTGCATTTATTAGAATATCGTAATAGTTCACCTCGTATTTTGGACTCAATCTCTAGTTCAGAGCTCTGCTCCTTATGAATATACCTCAGAACAGGCAAAGCTTTATAGAGCAAGTACTTGAGCCGCTGTAATTTGACACTGGGTCCAACTTTTCTAGTGTGAGGCTGCCAAAACAATTATACCATATCGAGAAAAAGGAGAGAGACGTTAGACTAGAAACTTGCTAGTTTCAGATTAAAGTACAAAGAGACAAAGGAAAAAAGAACCAACTTTCTCAATAAACGCACGCAAGCAAGCTTTGCAGTTGCAGTTGTGACAACAAAACGGGCATTTCTTCCCAATTTCCTCTCTTGTCTTCCCAGGGTACCTATCTCAACATTGAACAACGAAAAAACCAATGAACATCCTTATCATTTAAAACAAATACACCAAGATATAAAAACATTTTGCAATTACAAAAAACATGGAGAGAAATTTGAAAACTTGGTAAAGATGCAAAATTTAGAACTGGGTACTAACGAAAATCCAATCATTTAAAACCAATGCATCACCGAAAACAAAACTTACAATTATACAAGACATGCAAAATTCAATTTTCGAACTGGGTACAAATGCAAAATTTCGGAACTGGGTACTAACGAATATCCTTATCATTTGAAAATTTGAAACAAATACATCAACAAATCACAACAATCCCAATTATTCAACACATGCAGAGCTAAATTTTAGAAATGGGTATGAATCAAAATTAGACAAAATTACTAAAAAACAATGAACTCGCAGAAATTAAAGTTCTCAACGATTCTAAATTTTTACTTACCATCTTTCGATGCACTCAAAGCAAAATCGCTTTGTACAATTAGAACAGAAGACAACGCCACTCTTGTCGTTCCGCTGACACTGGTGGCACATCAAGCACACGCGCTGCTCCGAATTTTTGCCAGGCTTTTCCTGCAACTTCAAGCTCTCCCGCTCCTCAGATTTTTTGCTAGACTTTTCCGGCACATTCAAGCCCACGCGCCGATCCGATTTTCTGCTGGATTTTTCCTGCAACTTCAAGCATACGCGCTGCTCCGATTTCTTGCTAGACTTATCCTGCATCTTCGAGCTTGCACGCTCCTCTGATAGTTTGCTAGGTTTTTCCTGCAGCTTCAAGCTTGCACGCTGCTCCAATTTCTTGCATGACTTATCCTGCAGCTTCGAGCTCGCACGCTCCTCAGATTGTTTAGTAGGTTTTTCCTGCAACTTCGAGCAAGCACGCTGCTCCGATTTTTTGCCAGATTTGTCCTGCAAAACGCAGAATCGAGAAGCCTCAATGCCGTTGATTCCTAGCAATTAAATTTTGAATATTTCAGAGGAAACACAAAAAGTTTAAATTTTGGATGTTTCACCTCTTTGGATCGACGATTCTTCGTGAGATTATCGGAACCGCTGTTTCCATCTGACCTTCCCGTCTTGATTTTCTTATTCATAGCATTGTTTCTCTTCTGATCGTAGTGCTTTTGACAGTACGACTTCCCCTCCGCCGCCATCTCGCTGCACCGCCACTTCTGGCCGTCGTTGCGCTTGCAGCGGCCCGGCGGTTCCATGGACGAAGGAATGATCTCGATGGGAAATGGACGGCTGTGATTGGTCTGGGAGGGACGCAACTGTGCTGAGCGTCAGATTTTTCCCGGTTAGGCATGAAATGCCCGAAATCCGAAGGGTTGGAGGATGTACGCGATGCTTTGCCGCTACATATATCACCAAGTCACGTGTAAGCTGTAACACGTGTTCTAATCGCACAGCATGCCACGTGTTCCAAAGGGGCCATAAAAGTTACCCTTTCATTTTGCATTTTTTCCGTTTTCTTTATAAGGAAAATGGATTTTTATTTTTTCATATCCTATTGAACAAAAGAAGACATATAACCACCGTGGGATGGTCTAGTTGATGATGAATAACATGTTTGTATTTTAGACGGTAAATTTTGGTTTTGATTACTACCTACTGGTGCTAGTAGATTGTACGATAATGATTAGAAAAAAAATCTGAAATGTCTCTGTGAGTCTTTCTCGTCACACGAAAGGTGGATTGTAGTGGTGGGCTCCTGAAAAAGTGTAATGCAGTAACGAAGCCACTAGTTGGTCTTCATTCCAACTCCTCCTCAATTCAATTCCTCTCATTCTAATTACAGATTAGTAAACGAGTCACTAGTGAATTAGTAAACACTTATATATACTCAGTACTTTTTTTAGTTCGATTCCAAAAAATTTAAGTAAACAGCTTCAACATGAATTCAATTACAACTTCTTCTCAATTCAATTCCTCTCATTCTGATTACGAATTAGTAAACAAGCCATTAGGGTTCCTAAGTCCTTAACCATTCCCTTAATTATTATTTGTTTGGGCAACAAAACCTTCCCTTAATTAAACTTATACTACACAAGTGAGACATGAAATATTGCATTACTATTTAATGGTACATATGGCTAGGCAAGCGAGGCGTAGCAATGGCCATCAAAGGGCAGGCCTTGGGCATCGTCATACCATAAACCTCTTGGGTGTCAATATCTCCAGGCCTCAACCCTTCCGGTGGTGACCAATCAAAACAATGGAAAAGCCGAGCCAAAGCCATCAGAACCAGAGTCACTCCGAGCGGCGCGCCGGGGCACTTCCTCTTCCCGGCACTAAAAGGCAAGATCTTAAAATCGGCTCCGTGGCTAATCTCGACTCGGCTCCCGTCAGCCAGACAATGCCTCTCGGGCCTAAACTCGCCCACGTTGTCCCAGATCTTGGTGTTCCGGCCCAGCCCATGAGTGTTGATGAAGACACGTGTCTTGGCGGGTATGTAGTAACCGTTGATCCATGTGGCGCGAAGGGATTCGTGCGGGATGAGGAAGGGGCCCGCTGGGTGCATGCGAAAGGTTTCGCGTACAACGCAACGTAGGTAGTTAAGGTGGGCGAGGTCCGATTCGTTGACCATTCGATTTTGACCAACAACTGAATCGAGCTCTTCTTGAATCTTGCGAAGTACACGTGGATGCTTGATCACCTCCGCCATTGCCCATTCGTTGGTCACGGCTGACGTGTCAGTGGCAGCGGCTATCATATCCTAACAAACCCAACAACACATTTTCAATTAAAACTAAAGCAATAAAAAATAAATAAACAAAATATTAATACGAAGTGTGCTATGGTCAACCTCTCATGTGCACGAGCAATTGCTAACTTTTGATTGACGTGTGATCCACATTTTATCAATTAGGATAAATTACTCTGGCATTGTATGGACGATTGATATTAACAAAATTATTTCGACAATTTACGAAGTATTACCTGAATTAGAGCTTTGATTTCCACATCATCCATGTGTTGTTTCCCATCCTCACCGGGCAAAGACAATAACACATCAACAAAGTCCATTTCTCCTCCATCTTGCTCTCCATTTCCCCTCCCATTCTCCTCCTTTGCCCTCCTATGTTCTTCAATAATCTTGGTGTGAAAATCATCCACTCTTTTCTCCACCTCCCTCATTTTCTTCTCACACCCGTAAGGGTCCACCCACCTCCAAATTGGCAAATAATCCCCCAAATATATCACCCCCAAAAGCCGAAACAACTCATGGGTTATGTGCATGAACTCCAAGGCCTCTTGTGGGCCTGCTGACCCAGCACCAAAATATTGCTTCCCAAGCAACATCCTAGTCACATTGTTCATAGAAAACCCACCCAACACCTCCCTTAAGTTCACTGCCTTACCCGTCTGGGATGCGGCCAAGACATCCCGAACGAGATGTTGGGCCTCCTCGGCCCGGTGCTTCGCGAACGACTCGAGCCGCTTCGTCGTCAACAAGTGCTCCATGCATATCCGCCTCATTCGCTTCCATTGCGGGCCCAAAGGGGCGAGTGCCACGTCACCGCACCCATAGGCTAGATGAACTGCAGCTAGGGTTCTCGGCCTTGATGCAAAGACCTCATCTTGTTTGAGAAGTATTTCTCGGATTATATCTGGATCGTTGGTTGTGATTGCATCAATGCTCCCAAGTTTAAGGTATACCAAAGGCCCATACTTGTTGCATAGAGACGCAAGGTCCCGGTGGGGCAGTGCGCCCAACTGAAGAAGATTGCCTAAGATGGGCCATCTTGGTGGGCCCGGAGGAAGAAGGTTTTTGGTCTTGGGTGCAAATCTGCATTTTAGCCATTGGTATATGATGCTAGTAAAAATAGATGCAAAAATAAAGGTTTTGAAATCCATCTAGGAAATTGAAATATGAAAAAACTTGAGATTATAGTTTGTGTATATATAAGGAAGGAATCAATGGGAAGGGAAAATGTTGGAGAACAAATTTTTTTAGGTCAAAGCAGGCTCTTTACATGCCTATATGTTGGTAGTAGATTAGAGGTAATAAAAAAGAGTGCCAAGAATATGAGCCTTTAAATTAGGTGAAAAATTAGGAGTTTAGGACTAATTAGGTAGTGTATTGGTAGCTTAAACTTTGTTGATGTGGAATACCTTTTTATATCTTTATAGGCATCTTTACGTGGAATGAAATTTTAAGTGTAATATGTGAAATTTTTTAACTGGGCAATGTGAAGAATGTGCGGTCATTGATCTTCACACGTGAGGTAATATGCTCCGATACAATAGGACGTAACTCGTAAACCTTTGCATGTTTCTTAACTTTCCGATGTTAGACACACTTCACATCTTTACGATTACCTGATTATTCTTTTCATTTAGGTATGAGGTCGGCAAACTTATGTCTTAAGGTCGTCAAGCACGAGTATATTTTCATGTTTTGTTTTTGGTTAAACTCTGCAAGTGAGTTGGTTATCAAACAAAAGCACTCATCCTACCCTGCCAATTGTTTGTGTATAGACGGTATATAATGTGATCTGCCGATATGTTACGAATTCACTTACGAACTTACTACTTATACTGTAAAATTATAACCACAACGAATACACCACATGGCATGTTGAGTGAAGTATATTTAAACTAATTTGTGTATGTACAAGTTTTAATTCAAGTGATTTTGTACATTTGTAACTCTGTGAACTTATTTGAAAATACTTTTAAAATGACTGCAAACAATTTTAAAGACGGCAAAATGTTATTGGGTTCGAAAAACACTTGAAGTACATTCTGCAAGAAACACAGGTGCATCTTGCAAGAATAACTTCAAGTGCTTTTATAGGATTCACGTGTAGTTTTCTAAGGATTAGTTTCAAAAATATTTTCACCTAAAACGCTTCTAGTCACTTTAAAAACACTTCCAAATGAATCTTATATGTCATAACATGTTGTTTATAATCGCATAAAATTGTTCATAGATTGCTTATGAAGATATTAGGTGTTTATAATCACATAAAATTGTTTATCAAAACACAATTTATATGAGATTGCTTATGAAGATATTAGTGTAATATCATTATACTGTGTTCTAAAGTGACTTCAATGTGTAATAAAAAAAAGCATTTGTAACAAAATCGCTTATGACGAAAGCTTTCTATCCCAACCGAGCCCAAAAAATTATACAAAAAGGAATACGAATACTACTATTCACACATTTATTTTTACATCTCTCACATCTTTTTTAATTTTTTTACTATTGATCTTTTTCAATTAATTCAACTCGACGATCAAAAACTTTTTAGTGTCAGAAGGAAAAAAAGTGTTTGAATAGCACTAACAAGGAATAATACCCTACCCTTCTCATATTTTAAGGCCCAACGGAGTCGTTTGACGCCGCCTGGCCCGTCTATCGGAGTCTGAACTCTCCACCTCCACTCCCTCACTTAACCTCAAAAATCAAAATTCCTTCCTCTCATTTTCTCAGCAAAAATTTTCCCGAGAAAATTAGCAAGCAAAAATGGATTTCGACGCTCGACGGAAAATCGAAGAAACGGTTTTGTGTATACTGAAGAAAACGAATTTGGAGGAGATGACCGAGTTCAAAGTCCGAGAGATGACCTCGGAGCAACTCGGAATTGAGCTATCGGATACGGAGCACAAGAGCTTCGTGAGAAGCGTGATCGAAAGTTTTCTGCTGTCGGCCACGGAGCCCGAGGGGAACGCTGTGCAGGAGCCCATGGAGACGAATGTGCGAGAAGAGCAAGGCGCGAGGTTGAAGAAGGAGGCGAGTGAGGACGGGGGCCGTCTAATTTGTAAGGTAAAACCCCAATTTTTGTGTTTGGTTACTGAGAAAGTGTGGGAAACGGAGGGAAAGTTTGAATCTTTATTAATCAGTTTTAGCATTTAGGTGAGTTTTTAGTAAAGTGAGGTGAATGTAACTATTTGGCTTAGTTGGTTTGAGGATTTACTGATTTTTACTCTCAAATGTGTGTAAAGGATTGAAATTTAGTGTTTTCTGGATTTACTGATTTTTACTCTCAAATGTGTGTAAAGGATTGAAATTTAGTGTTTTCTGGGTAAGTATTTGATTCATTTATCTTTTTACGGGACGATATTCTAAACTACTCTAATTGAATAGGGTTTAGGGTTTCACACGCTACCGTGACCTACTGGCCTAACCGCCATCTACATTTGATTCATCTTTGAAAATATTTGTTTAGGTTTAGAACACTAGATTCTGGTAAGGTTTATGCAAATATGCAGGCCAACAGGCAAGATAAATTGAGTTTTCGAAGTGGATGCATTCATTGGATTAAGAAATTTCCGAGTTGTGTGTTTTCTTGTATTTTCATCATATCATGTATGTCTGTCTGTTTCGATTTCTGATCTCAAGTTTTTTGTTTGATTAGCTGTCTAGCAGGAGAGGTGTGGTGATTAACGATTTCAAAGAGAGAACTTACGTGTCAATTAGAGATTTTTATCAAAAAGATGGAAAGCAAATTCGTACTCCCAGAGGTGACCACCTTTCAGCCAAATGTTGCATCTAATTTAGCTACCGTGAAACTGCTTTACATTTCTTCCCTGGTCTCATTGAAACAATTCATCATTTGCATCGGTCTCCTTGTTTTTGATAAGAGATAAGTTTTTTAAATATCCTAACAATATCCGCTGCTTTGCTAGATTGCGCACACATATATTCTGTGTTGAAATCCATTCTCCATACTTCTCTCTGCACGTCACAAATGTGCACACATTGCAAAAGCTATTAGATTTGGGTTGGAATTAATGCCTTGTATCTTTTTCTATTTCCAATACTTTTGTTTCGGTAGTGAGTGTTGATAATATCTTTTCAGGAATTAGTTTGCCGGTCGAACAATGGGCAACGTTCAAAAAGAGCGTCCCTGCAATAGAGGAAGCCATTAAAAAGTTGGAGTCAAAGTTAAGGTGAGAGTAAACTGTTGATAAATTGAATAAATGTTAAATCCATTCTAATAAGTCTCTTCTCATATTCTGCTTTATCTTGAGCAAGTGGATTTGTAGGCTTCTCCTTGATAACTATTTTGTCGCTGTAAAATGGTTGACTGACTTCTAATAATACAAATGCAGATCTGAACTTGAGAGTAAACAAACTGAACATTGTAAGCAAGCTGAAGACACGTCTAATTCATTGAATGATTTTGCTCCTCAAGAACTTGCTACTGTTGAGACTAGCCGTTATGATGGGAAAAACTACCCATTCTGGGCGCAACAGATGGAGCTTCTGTTGAAGCAATTAAAGGTTAAATACGTGCTATTTCAGCCACGCCCAAGCAGTACACTTGGCCCAGAAGCAACTAGTGAAGAAATTGCTCATTCAAAGGCTGCTGAACAGAAATGGGTGAATGATGATTTAGTTTGTCGTCGCAGAATCTTAAATGCTCTATCTGATGATCTGTTTTATCTTTACTCAAAGAAAACTATGACTGCTAGAGAACTGTGGGAAGATCTAAAACATATGTATCTCTTTGAGCAGTTTGGAACAGATAGAACTCTAGTTAAAAAGTACATCGAATTTGAGATGCTCGAAGGAAGACCAATTTTGGAGCAAGTTATGGAATTTAATAGAATTGCCGATTCCATTGTAAATTCTGGGATGACAGTTGAGGAAAAATTTCATGTCAGTGTCATCATCTCCAAACTCCCCCCATCTTGGAAGGATGTGTACATTAAGTTGTTGTGCGAGGAGCATCTACCTTTTTCAATGCTAATGGATCGTTTGGAGGTTGAAGAAGAGTCCCGTACTGGGGGTAACCAGAGAGTACCATTTAACCTGACGAGCGATCTGCCAGGGAAATCTGTACCGAGGCAAAGAGATAAGAAGCCACGAAGCATGCAATGGAAGAGGCCAGAAGTGGAGACAAATTGCAGAGTTATTTGCCATGCTTGTGGCAAGAAAGGGCATATTGCTTCACATTGTCGTTATCGTAGCAGGAAGGACGACTGGGAAGCTAATGATAAAAAGCACAAGGGAGATGGATCTTTGCCTGCAAGTGTGGAGGTCAACATGTCTGAGAAGGCAGATGACAGGGAAGCTAATGAGAAGCAGCATGACGGAAATGGATCTATGCGTACAAGCGTGGAGTTCAACGTGTCTGAGAGGGCAGCGGAATAGCTAGTTTCCGTAGAGCTCCCCTCCCATCTCATTTTCACTAACAGCATTATTACCTTTTATAGAGTTGGCAGGTACAAAGTGTGTTATAGTTCCAAGGGCGGTCCTTGAGGGTTATGTTCTGTTGAATTTGATACAAGGTCCAAGTCTGCTTTAGAGGACATGTTCTTGTGTGCAAGGCTTTGAAATCGATTGTGATTTTGTACCGTACGCTCTTTTTCTTTCAAATTATTGTAAATGCATACCATTCTTTCCGAAAAGATTGTCGATTCAGGTGCTTGAGATTCATCGAGGTTTGATGTTGTAAATTCTTATATACACATTGTTTATACAGTGCTTCTCTAATAGGAACTCGTCTTCGTCATGCGAGTGATTTTTATGATACTGAAGGGAAAAGAAGGTAAAAGTTGGAGCTTCAACGAAAAAAACGGAGTTATGAAAATGTACAGAGGGTTTGAGATGCATCCAATCAGGCAAAAAATACCGACCTTCCTGAATGTATTTATTCTTCATGCTAAAATTTCTAAGGTTACAACGCAAACAAAACATGGCTTGAGGATGAAAACAGTACAGGCTCAAGCCAACCGATAAGCAACAGACGGAGAAAATCAACAGACTTTGCTGCTTTTCCAAATTGATACAAAGAAGGCACAAGAAGCAGCAATTGAAAAGAAAACAATCCAGCTGATCTGCTGACGCCTCCGTCGTGGCCTAAAAACCGACCAATCTGCCGATGCCTGCCATCTTGGCCATCATGCATCTGTTATAACCAATACAAGAAAAAGTTAAGAGTAACATTCAGTCTATAAGGGCAAGTTCAGGACACCAATTATGGTGGTATAAATGGATAAATTTGCAACGACAGAAGCCCATGGTTTATTTTACAGTTTTGAAGAGATCCTTCGGGCAGTACCTGTGAAAACGAAAATTCTCGGAATCACACTTTTCGTGCCAAGTTTGACTTAGCGAAGTCCAACAATTCTTGTTCTCTTTGCATATCTTCAGTAACATGTGTTCGCTTCAATTTCAGCTTCTTGATCATATCCTCAGTTTCGTCGTAGTTTACAGTCATACTAGGTTCTCCAGATTTTGCAAGAAACTTGATCTCTATATCTTTACTGAGAGTAGATAACATTTTTATAAGAAAAATCAGTATTTACCATTAGACGAAATTTTCGAGAGCTCTATTTTAATTCCAAACTAACCTGCTTCCCAGGATGAACACGCCACTCTTTTTAATAATCCCGCCATCTAAAGACAGTGCTCCATGATTTATGCATGGGAGAGCAAGAAGCATCTCCGCTCTGGTTCTGTACATTTGGAGGCGAGAAAGGAGACTATAGAATAATGTCTCTCTCAGACCATGCCCACTGCTGGTAACATTAACCAAGTTATTGCTATCCAGAATGATCGTGTTCACTGCATAATCAAGAAAGCCATGCGGACACTCCCCATTTGGTAGCTGTGGTTTGGGAATATCAAGCTTCCTTTGCGGATCATCAGCTACAAACCCCCCAACATATGGACTAAAAACAAACAACACTTAGAATGTAATAAGTAATAGCAACTTGAAAGAAAACATTGAACAGGTTTCTTGCCTCAATTCATCTAGACATATGACCAGAAACCGCCCTCTTATGCCCTTCCCCATAGAAGCTCCAAGACCATGTATGCCAGCGCTGGTGAGTATTGTCCCATCGCCATCATACTTCTCTAGAACCATAACAGCTTCATTTGTCCTGCATACAATTGCTAGCATAGTTTCCAGTCCCAAGTATTCCGAGAGAAGCCTAATTCAAAGTTACAGGGAAGTGCATGTCAGACAACGTTGTAAATAATGGCCCTTATGGGTCAAAGATTAATCATAAAAGCAGGCCATTAGCTTTCAAGAGGCCTCATGTGCACCCCACTTACTAGTTTGGCATATAATTTGTCTGTTCTAAATAAGACCAATGGTTTTTTTAAATCAGAAATTATATGCAGGAATAAACTCAAAAATGCAACCCACTAACCCATTTCTTGAACCCTTTAATTTGGATGATCATTAAAGCCAGTCAAGAAGTGTGATCTGAAGAAATTTTGACTTCATCCAGCGAAAACATTCTGTTTAATGGTATTACCAGGAGAAAGGAATGGATAATAAGAAAATGTGACCTGCTAAGGTTGTCATCGTCGACTCTGCCAAGTGTGGCAACAATGCCAACAATACCCAGCACATCCTTTGTCAGAGCCAAATTCAAAGCCTGAGTTGCATGCTGTGATTCTAACAGTTTCAGCCTGCACAATAAACCAGCCGCAGATTTTTCGTGCCGCAATATTTGGTCTTCCTCCTCAGTAGTAGGACCATTTTCATTTGTTATTGCAATACCATTGGCAGACTGATGCTTAGCAAGACTCCCTGGAAAGACACGCGAGGTTTGGTAGTGTCATATCTAGAACATACTAGACATAAAAGAACAGAAGAATTTTGTAGAACACAGTAATGTCCTGCTAGTTTAACATACTCAACATGACGAAACTTTAACCTTTTGATAAAGTAAAAAAGAACAGCCCTACCCGAAAGCATCATACTTCAAAAAGCGATTTGGATGGATAAGTAGAAGGGGAGGGAGGGGGTTTACCTTGCAATTCCAGTATAGATTCACCTAAGCGGTTTATCTCATTCTGAAGGAACTTAATATTATCCTCGTGCCGCTTGATTTCTAGATTATTCTGAAGAATTTGAGAAATTAGTTGTTATCGATTCAGCATATAGCAGAAGTTTGCAGCAATCATTTGTGCTTTTCCAACAACGACTCAAACTTGAGGATCAAATATATATATAGAGAGAGAGAGAATTGTTATTAGCACTCCAAAAATCTCATTTGGCACTCCACACTTTCTATAATTAGAAAGAAAAAGACACTTACGAGGAGTGTAGAATGAGATTTTTGGAGTGCTAATAATAATTCCCTATATATATATATATAAGTACAGAACTTTACATATCACAAATTCAAATTGCAACGCCACATTCTTACACCATGCTACCTTCCAAACTTGGCATTTGTTTACTACATTTACCATCTAACGGTCATATATGCAACCAAAACGAGAGAATATCATATCTAACCATATTTGACCGTTAGATGGTGAATGTATATATTTACCTTCCATTTGCTGACCATATAGTAGACGTTTGTAGCAATCACTTGTGCATATCCAACGACGACTCAAACTCAAGGATCAGTAACACAAATATATACACACACAACTTTACATATCACAAATTCACATTACATTGCCACATTCTTACACCATGCTACCTTTCGGATTTGGCATTTATTTAATACATTTACCATTTAAAGGTCATCTATGCAACCAAAAAGAGAGAATATCATATCTGACCGTTAGATGGTGATTCACCTTCCATTTGCTCACCAATATTCCAATTTTTTTTTTTTAATATTTAAACCAAAACCCATGCAATCAGACAATATTTCTGCTATTACATTCCAAATTTTATCTGGGTTTACATACCATGTAAATAAATCACCTTACATTGTCCAAAAGATAACAAAATCAGTCAAATAAACGAATCCCAAACGAAAACGCTTCTCTTACCATCTAGTTGTACCAGTTCTCCGATAAAGATGGGACCCACATATGCGTTGGCGGACCCTCTCTCTGTCAGAGAGATGGTACGAATGATGGTACAATTAAGCATTACTCAATCCCAAATTTTGAAACTCTATGCACATTTATGTTTCAAATTGGCAAATACCCAGAAAATTTTTCTACCACGAGACCAATTACAGCTTAAAATTATAGTGAAACATTCTGAGCAGTTAAAAATCCAAAAACTACAGCTTTTACTTCAGTTCACAGTAAAAATTGAGAGTTTGTGCCGCAGCAAGCTTCAAGAGTGAAAGCAGTGGAGAAATGGGAAATAAGAGAAACAAAATGCGGCAGAGATATAACCTGGTGGTTCGGTTTATACATGCCGGCGGCGAAGAAGCTGACTGAGAGCGGCTCTCTGATTTTTGCTCTCTGGAGGTCTCGGGCAGATCAAAGCAGAATGGCAGCTTTGTGGGTTTTCTGGAACTTGGCATTTTTGTTAATACATCTGCCATATAAGGACGTTGTGAATTTTGCACTTCCTCCCACAATTTATATATTTTCAAATTTCCTCCAACATTTGGCTTTTTTTTAATTTTTTTTTTATAAATAATGTTTTGGAGTTTTTTTATTTTATGTTTTTTTAGGAGAACAGTTTAGGGTTTTGTGCTTTCAAAAAATAGTTTAGGGTTCAGTATTCATGAAAAGCTACAGATACAATATTCATACAGATGAAGAGCATTATTTAAAAAAAAAAAAAATACTCGCAAACAAAGGTCTGTAAACAATGCTAATAGTCAGACGATCTAAAAAAATCAATGCATCCATTGCTGCAAGATCGTGTCAGAGATTAAAACGCTCAAGTCAATGAATTTAGTGATCATTAGAGCTTATTAATGTAAGAATAAGTATGGTTTAGGAGTATTTGCTTCGAACAAGTATCGTTTATTAACTTTCGAGTTTTGATGGAGTTTAAACATGCGAGCAAAACTTAAAAGCTCTGTAATAAATGAGATTCTAAAATCAAAATAAGTAAAAGACAATGATAGAACACTTAATTGCATCACAATTGTTCCCACAATGCTTTTGTTGTTTCCCTTAAAACTCTGTTTTCACAATTTAGCCATCTTTTATTTTACTTCTTGTTCCAGCGATTGTTAAGGTATTTCAACTTGCAGTGTTGTCTCCCATTAAGTAGTTTAAAACTTTGGCCAATTCAAGAATCTCCAAATATAGCCACTTAGTACTACGGTCTAGTGGTAATCCTCTTCACTTGTAAGTGTGAGGTTTTAAGTTCGATTCTCACCAAAAGCGGATATGAATAACATTATTACTAGCCCATTGTGAAGCTATAACACCACCCCCCCCCCCCCTCCCTCCCCCAAAAAAAATCTTTAGTACAGATAATATCATTTGTTAAAAAATAAAAATAAAAATAAGAAAATTTCCAAATATAAGTTTATTTTCAATTCCTTTAATCATGTCATAACTAATTGCAACATTTGTCTCCGAATGTCTATGGGGCCTACCCTATGATTGGACCAGGTTTTATTCGATCCTTTTCAAAATGGGTAGGGCTTGGACTCTGCATATTGAGCCATGGGTCGGCCTCATAGGTTCGAGTTGAATTGGGCCTTCAGCTAAGCTTGGGCTTTACAAATTTCATAAAGGGTCAGTCCGGCCTGGCCAATTTTACTCTTAGGGCCAAAATGTTTAGGGTCGGGCAAGGCAAGGGACGCTACTTCTCAGGCCCAGGCCGCCCATAGCTTCTAATCTTATAGTTGGGCCCATAGCATTTTACAGGCTCATAGCTTCTTTCATGGGTGGTCAGTTCAATTTAGAAAATGCAATGGTCGTTTGAACAATCTCTTCATGGCTCCAAACTTTTGTCGCTTTACTCAACCAACTCTTTGAAATTCGAAAGCTCGGCCTAGTCTAATCCTACTAAGGTCGTAACTCTTACCAAAGAGAGTAATTTCTATGGTTCGTGTATACTATCATCGTGATGTTTGTTATAAAGATGTTTCGACCTATCAATAATACAACATTATAGCATCGCACGAGATGCTAATGTGTCCTCTTTATGAGAGAACTCAAAATGCGTATCTTTTTGGGGTCAATTTTATCCTTGTTTAGTTTGAAAGAAAATTGGTATTTTCCATTTTGTATTTAAGTGTTTGGTATTTTAAGTATAATCAAGATAATGATATTTATAATCAAGATAATGATATTTTTTTATTTTTCAGACCGTAGAAACAGTTCAAACACGCTAACGCGGCAGATAAGTAAAAAAATATGAAACTTGCTTGTCAAGTTTCAACTTAGTTGCTAAGTAAAAGTCTGGATGAAATCAGTCAGAATCTTCAATATCTTTGAAATATTAGGTAGCCCTTTCTTTATTCCTCTCAACCAATTGCCTTGTGGACCAGTGGTAGTCATGCATGCATTTGAATATTGAATTCAAGCTACAAGTTCTCATGAGAATATAATCTACAACTATGCAGGACACATATGACGGAATTGAGTAGGTTCCATTTGTTTTTATCAGGTGGAACCACATAATTAGGAGGAAAACTTGCCATTTACGGGTTTCTGAAACTCCTAATCGCTCTTTCTACTCAAGTGATGATAGTGATAGAGAGTGATAACGAGAAGATCAGTGCAACTTCAACACTATGAGATCGATAGACAGATGAGTTGTATGAATCGTTTCATGTAAGTTTTCACAAGTTCATGCAACTCCACTCTCTCGGACCTCATCACGTGATGTGAGTGATACATAAGGGAGTTGCATGCATAATCCCGTCCCTACACAAACTACTTCAAGCAAATGTACTTAACCAGCATGCATGCACCACGATCTTCACATGACATGCACTGCCTCTTAAATGCTTTAAAAATGCTACAAGCACACCACAAACGACATGCTTTTGTTATTTTGGAACTTTCAATACATTTGAGGGAGCCAGAGAAGCAAGTTCCAAAATTGGGGCAAACACTGCAAAGGCCAAAGAGAAATGGGCACAAAAGGAAATGCCTAAACAACACATGGGCGGTTGGACTTCTTGTCAATCCTCCACTTTTGGCCACATGTTTTTAGTATTTTTGCATTTTGCAACCATACATATTACATATCTATATATTATTATATATAAAGCAGAACAAGTTAGACACATAAAAGCACAAAAGTGGGCAGGGGTGTGTCTGTTTTAGGGTTCAAATTTATCCAAATTCCTAACCCTAACCATGGAAGATGGCATTTGATATTATAGTGAAAAAGAAACACACTTTAATATCTGTTTTGAAAAAAAAAAAATTCTCGTGAACTTCACTATTATCATTGCACCTAACTGTTAGATTGTTTGAACGTTTCTCATTAAAACTATTTGTTCTCGACGTGATTAGTCACAATGTTTGAAAATTTTATTGTGCTCCTGTGTATGATATTACATCAAAGCAATGCATGGTTGAATGTGCACTTTAGAAGCTAAACAACAAGAATGCAACGACTAAACATTCGAAAAATTCCCCTTGATGTCATTGTTATTGCTTTTTCTCTACGTTTTCTTTTTACTCTTCATAGTCCGTGGCCTTTTTTTCAGCACACATGGAGCACATGCCTTCTGTCAAAATCTGCTTCACTGGTCACTGCCCACTGGTCAAGCCAATTGTAGAATTCAGATACCATTTGGACCACATTGTTCTATTACTCTTGAGAACCAAGTGACTTTTATTCTTTTACTCATCTAAGTTTTTTTGCTAATTATGTATGCTGATTTATTGGATCCATGGACCCAATTTTCTTGCTTTTTTTCTCCTCAAATTCTTTTATGGTAAAGGTTTAGACACCTCAATTGCTTTATAGAAAGTAGAAGTGTGAAAAGGGATGGCCTAAATTTGGAGGACATGATCTATTCCTTTGCTCCTTTTCATGTGCATTTATGCAAATCTCACTTCGACTCGCTGATATCAAAGTTCTATTATGTTTCGATGTATTTAGCAGTTAAAATCTTTGATATTGGACTCCACGTTAAATATTTAACAATAAAAAATCTCAATGTATAATATACTCAGAAGCATACTAAAAAATCCCTACCAAGGAAGGTGAGAAAAAATGAGAAACTAAATCTAAGAATGTTTCTACATTTTGTTAATGCAGTTGCATCCAGTAGATTCAATTTGCAAAATACAAATCAAAACCACCGTCATCCAACAACCAAACTAAAAGCGGTTAAGCACTAGCCAGCATTTATCTCTACACCGGAAATTCTGTGTTCAAATTGACCCACCATTCTCCCAACATTGGTGGGCCAGATATTAAAAGCTACATAAGTAAAACGCTGAAAATAAGTACAAAAACAGTTGAGTAGCTGCCCCTTGTGAAAAGCGTGTTGAGGTACCTACCCGTGACAGCAGTTACAATTGCAGGAACAAACAAGGAAAATGTGAACAAGGGCTGTGAAGGCATCACACCAATGCCATGTTATCTCAATTATGCAAGTACGAAACATATGCATACCAAAAGTCCACCTCTGCTCTTGTACCTCAACCACAAGACTACACACGTATTGTCACATCCCCACCAATTGACGATTCTAATTTGACGACTTTTTTCTCCATATTGAAAAATTCGCATAGGAAATCACATGGCACAAGGGAACATGCGTCTATTTTTTTTCCCGTTGAAAAATCTCCCAAAATCAACTCCGCCCCAGAAGAAACGGCAAAAATCTGAGATGTAACCGGATATTTATCTTTCTTTCCGTATCTCTCAAATCAAGTCATTAGTCAACTCATCACGAGAAGAGAGAGATACTGACAGGGGGTAGATAATGGGTTACAATCCCCACATAGATAACAAGGTAACCCAAAATTTGGAAGAAGAGCAAGAAGAAAGTAAACTAGCTCTAAGTTTCAGATGCATTCAACCAAGAATTTTATGGAGAAGCCCTCAGAACTTTCTATCACAGTTAATCATCGTATCGATTCATAGTTCAAAAAGGAAAGGAAAACGAAAGAGAGGGCCAAAAGCCTAAACAAGATAACTGAATTCAAATGTCGAATCTGGGTAAGAATTCATCTAATCCTCCTCAGACAACAGAAGAATATACTACATATACATATACATATATATATATATATATATATATATATATATATCGACGATATCATCCAGTAAAAAAAACAGTAGTGATGATGGATGGTAAGAATGCAAATGGAGAGAAAGCAATGAAACTAAGATTTAAGAAACAAAATAAATCTATCAGTTTCTTCATAACCAACAATTTGAGGGTCGGTTAAACTTACAAATGTAATCGAACTTGCATGAATACATCACAAACTATGTATGCTATAAAATAATCACAGAGATTTTGCTCCCCTACTTGGTCATTAGGTAGTTATTTGTCTCTAATTCTAGCTAGCAATGCGATTCCTTTTCGGATTCCCTGCTGTATATCAAAAACATCTGAAGAAACTTTTAAATGGGTTCTTTCAGTACTATACCTATGGACTATGTTAACTGCAGTGCTTGCACTACCCGACTGATGACAATGAATGTAAAGAGTTGGATTCCCGGGAAAATGCTGCAATCAACTTCTCCTTCGTCAACCGCTCCGATCCTTGAGACTTGACAACAAATGTATGGAGCACAGTGTCGTCTGCTGCTGCAAGTTTTGACTCAACAACCGTGATTTGTGCCTCTCTGAATGCTTCGATGACTCTTGATGCAGGGTGTGAATCCAAAGCGGAGCTCACCCTTACAATAACCTCGTCATTAACAGTTTGAATATCAACCTCAGGTGCCTGGTTCTGAATTTCCATACCTGAGCTAGCCCCCAAGGCTGAAGCATCTCTTGAAGTGCCCCCGAGGTTCTCCCTCTCTGCTTCCATGACTTTAAGCTTCGCCTGGAGCTCGTTGATGTAAGCAATGGCATCTCCCAACAAGGATGCTTTGTCCATCTTGGATATATTGGGCACAACAGCTCTTAAAGCATAAAACCGCTGGTTTAGCTTCTCCCGCCGCTGCCTCTCTGCCTCCACATGATTGAGTGGCTCTTCTCTTCCATTTGCAGGCTTCCTACCCCTTTTCCGTGGCCTCCTTTCATCAGCTGTGCCTGGCTGGTCTTCCTTGCATGGAGCTTCAGCGTCTGAATTTTCAGAATCCACACCAATGGGCCGGGGAGCCACGGAAGGCCTTGAAGTGGCCCCTGAAAAGTCGATTTGCATCGGCACCTGCTTCTGTGGTTGATAATGGTTATGACGAAAATCATCCCTGACCCCATCGACAAGCTCCTGTAAATTATTCACCGGACTTTGAGAAGCATACTTCTCAGTTGGGCTCCCCTGTTTCACATCATGATTGTGCGGCCAATTCGAACCATGAATACCATTTCGAGGACTTGAAAATGCAATCCTATTCCCATTTGAGTACACATCCCAGGGCCTCTCCTCCAACTTTCTAACAGCAAGTTTTTCTCTATAACGAGGCCGAACTGAGTTTCCTGAGTTCAAATCTTGCCCGAAAATCTTGGGAACTGCTTCCCCTCTCTCCACAGGGCTCAGATTAGTTAGGTGGACATTTTCATCTCTCCTCCTTCCAATCATCGGCACACCTGCCACTGGCTTAGCCCTCATGTGCGAGGACTGTGTAGAGAACAGTGACCTTATGGACTGCAACAACTCTAAACGCTCCCCTATGCATCTCACTGAACCCAATTCAACTACACCAACATCTGTTGGGACTAAAACAATGGTCTGAATTCCAGCAGACTTAGCAAGAAACGATCGAACGCAATACTCCGACCCTGATTTCAACAAGTCCAAGAGCCAGACATGCTCCCCAGATGCAAAGCACTTGCCAGGACCCTCCTCTCCTCTTGGAAACGAAAAATACATGGACGCAAGCAAGAACATCTCCATATCGGTGACTCGGTCTAATCCAAGAGCACCATTATACTCATCTGAGCTCCCAAACAAATTGTGCAACTTTTGCAGCACTATCTTCCTCATCCTCTGCTGGGTCCCATCATCAAGCCTAAGACCGAGAATCCTCGTGGTTTCGGACACTTCACCTTCCTTAGGTTCTCTACAAGAACCATCACCCCAACACAGAACCCAATCCCCAGACTTGGACCTAGAAATCTGCCAGAAAATGGCATAATTCCAGCTAAAATTCGATGCATTCGGACGCTCCACGAGATCCGAGAGCTTGTTGTGCAAATTTTCATCAGTCCCTATACCCATACATGAATTCTCATTCGAGGAAACCGCGCTCGAAATCAAGTAATCGAAAGCTCTGGTTCCTAAAACTGCAGCAACCATGGCTTTATCTTCATCATCCCAAACCCCTCCTCCTAAACCCATCTCAATCTTCATCTCCAAAATCCAGAAAAATCAACCACCCTATAAAAATCGAGCTAAAATTTTCAAACCCCAGATCAAATCTCAGCCCCAAATACCCCCTAAACCATGAAAAATCCCGACTTTTTTTACTAAAACCAAAACTTTATACATTCAACCAAATCAAACACTCCCACCAGGACTACAATTTCAAATCTCAAAAGCCGATAATTCTAAGTAAAAAGCAAAACCCAGAAAAAATACAACAAAATAAATCCAGAAAACACAAAGGGTTAGGAAAAAACTACACACACCAGCTTCGGCAAAACAAATGAGATCATGAGGAGATGATTGCGCAGGGCAGCGAAGAAAGAAGAGTGTTGGGCACAGCAACCATTCCCGGAAAGTGAGAGAAAAAACAAAAATTTTCCCGGAAACCAAACAGGCAGCGATGTCACGAACAATAACGACAGACCAGAAAAAATACCATAAAAAAAGGTTCGGCCTTTGGTTTGTGTAAAAGCAAAAGTGTGGTGGTCACAGAGAGAGAGAGAGAGAGAGAGAGAGAGAGAGAGAGAGAGAGAGAATTAGAAACTGGGTTTTGCAACGTTTGATTTCTGTTTTCTTTGCTGTTGGACTCTCTTCCTCCTAAATCTTAACAGCACGAGTGAACCGTGGTTAAAAGCTTAAGCTCTGATTTGGGGTTAATTTTGAACCGTGGTTGAAGCTTTCGGTTTCAGGGTTTGAGAAGTAGTCGGCAGAGATTCTTTTGTGTGTGTATGTTTGACAAATGAGAAGCACATGCAAAAGAATGGGAAATTTGAAAATAATTAAAAATTAAGATTTCAGGTAGAATTAAAGTCACGCTTTTAAGTTGTATTAATTATAATTAAAAGTTGATATGAAATTACTGATATAATTGCAAGCGACGACTTCATATCAACTTTCGATTTATCCATTTTGAACTTTGAGGGTATATTAATACTTTTTCTTTTTATCAACTTTTAGTTATTAATATCAAAAACTCAAAAAGTGTGGCTATATTTTTATATGATGTTCAAATTTTGGTTATATTTCTAATTTACAAAAACAAGCTTATTATACTTAATTGCGTTTTGGTCTAATAATATATTGTTTTTAACAAAAAATTATTCAATTGTAACATATCTATTAAAATCCGTTTTATATAAGTCATTTTGTTTGTAATTAAAGGACTTAAAGCTAATCTATTTATATCTACAATTATCTCATGTAATTAATTATGGTAAGTTTAGTTAGCAACAGCTTTTAATTTCTTTGTCCAAAGGAAAAAACACGATAGAAATGATTGAGCTTTCGAAAGGAAAATGTTTGAGCTTTCTAAATAATCTACATATATTGTTTTACTATTATTATATGAGATAAGACCTGAGAGGAAGACGTTTGAACTTACTGCTTATTTTATATTTATTGTTTTACTATTGATATTTATATCTCGTGATTTATTTTCGTGATAGTGTTTGCACATGTGATTATTGACAATGCATACATACGAGACAGATTCAAGCACAAAAGGAAGACATTTGAACTTACTACTTATATTAAATTAGTTATTTACTAGTGATATTCTTATCTCATTATATATGAAATAAATTCATGCAGAAAACAAAGACGTTTGAACTTACTACTTATTCTATATTTGTTGTTTTACGAATGATATTCTTGCCTCGTAATCCACTGCAATAGGACTAATAAAAAACCAAGTAATCAACGACATGTTGGACAAACCAATATGTATGTTGAACTAAGACGTTTGAGCTTATAATTTATTATATATTTGTTGATTTATTATTTGATATTCTTACCTTGTAGTGCACCGTCATGAAATTTTATACACGTGACTTCGTGATCCAACGGTTAAGATAAACCTGAATCGAAACTTATTTTCCATATTAATCTGGTTGTTTTACCATTGTCAATCTTGTAATTCAGGATTTACTGACTTCTAGGTACTTACCAATATGCCAATAGGTTTAATTTATATCATAGATTAAACATTAGTTTTCAAAAATTATTATTATTATTATTATTTGAAATAGTGAATTGTAGCAATGGTCCATCAACTTTAATTAAATTGGAGTAATGGTCCCTCAATTAAAAATCTATTACTATTGATCTCTCAACTCATCAAAATGTGTAGCTATAGTAATTTTCGTCAACTTCGTCAAAATTTTGTCAAACTACAATTGGGAGCCCTTAACTTAGCTATGGTCTTTTTCGTCAACTTTGTCAGAATTTTGTCAAAATGAGTCAAAATGAGTTATGTTGGAATAACCTTTGCTACAATTGGGTTAAAGTTGAAGGACCATTTCTTCAGTTGGATTAAAGTTGAGGGACCGATGGTAATGAATTTTTAATTAAGGGACCATGAATGCACGTTTTGATGAGTTGATGGATCAATGGTAATAGATTTTTAGTTGAGGGATCGTTGCTCCAATTGAGTTAAAGTTAAGGGACCACTATTACAATTTACTCTATTTGAAAAGAAAAAAAAAAAGAAAAAAAAAAGAGACAACTGGTGAACCACGATTATCTATCTCTTCTGAGTTTGAATGAGATTAGTTGGGAATTGCACTATACATGTGATCACAATCAAGCAGATTCACGGCTTACAAAATATCAAACCCACACCTCCAGTTTTTTCTTTTTAAAATGCTGTTATTCACACTTTTCTACTGAGTCAATTGTCGTGGTTAGTGTTAAACCAATGATTAGAAAAACATTTTTGGAGGTTGAAGAAGGTGATTGTGGTTTAAAATTTTGGTCACCTTCCGTTATTAATTTAAAATTGGGAAATAAAAAAATTATGGTTTAAAAGATTTCTGCAGATATGAAAGGAATAAGTTGGAAAGTTTCAATCGCATTAGGAGTCTTTGTCTTAAGTAACATCATGTTTTTCTTTTTTTCATAAAACATAAATGAAAAAATTCATCATGTTGAAAGTCCTTACGTCCTTAGCTTAACGTAGACGTGTCTACATTATCAAAACAAATAAATTATTAGAGCCACTCATTAAAATTTGTAGACATATTATAAGTTACAAAACTAAATTTAACCTAGATAATAGTTAAGGATTTCGGACTTGAGATCCAATAGACAGTTTAATTATCGTGTAATATTTCAAGATGTAATGAAGAGCGACAAAATAGAACGAAAAGGTATTATCATTTTTTACTTTGAAATTAATTGATATAAGTACATGTTGAGAATATCAATGGCACAAATTGAAAAGAGAGTGACATTACATGTGTTTATACGTAGTTGGGTTATTCGTCATATAGCCTTGGTTTTGTGATGGAATTTCAACTGTTTTCATAGTATCAAAGCAGGTTGTCTCGTGTATGAAGTTCAATGGCCACACATGCTCCACAACACTCAATTTATATTGTCCACGTACTAAGCTTGAAAGTTCGCACACATAAAAGACTTGTTGAGAAAATCAATTCCATATCAAAGAAAAGAAAAACATCACATAAGTTTATAAGCAGCTAAGCATGAAACTCAACTTTCTTTAATATCATTTTTTTTTTTTTTTTTTTTGTAAAAACTTTCTTTAATATCATAGGTAAACTATTTTTAAGGAAAAAAGTGTGGTGTGTGATGACAATGTTGTCTCCTCCAATGCGATTAAATTATCTTCACTCATGTGCTTAACAGTTCTTAGTGGGGTACATCAAGAAAGTTAAAGGAGGTTGACGCGTGTAGGTCCCCCAAGACATGAACAACACAAGAAAATTACCTCCACCTTATTATTTAAGTCAATTCTTGTGCGATATTATATAATATTGTGTCAAAAACATGAAGTGACAAAGATGTCAGGGAGAATCCCACTATTAAGAGAGTTTCATTAGCATTTATCATTAAAAAAAGAAAGCACAATCCAACAGTGGAAAAACCAACGCACGGGCCCCCGAAACCTTATAAAATTATAGTCTTCCATCCACCCCAGGCAATGAATGTTCTCATGATGCACATTTCTTAAAGAGGACCCATTACCTTCTTCGCACATGTTGATAGTTGGGGGACAGTAGATCGATTTTTCAAAGTAGACATTGTTGGTTGTTTTGATTGGCTTTTTAACCAAAATGATCTTTGAGATTGAAAAAAAATATATATTTACTTTAGTGAAGTGGTTCTTGAGTTTGTCTATTGTCAATCATTTTGTTTATAAAAATCTTCACTTAATGGAAATGCAAGTGGCGGGTTTGATTAGACAAAGATACAATCAATTAACAAAGATTTTAAACGGAGGGACCAAAATAGTTGTCGATGAACACTCAATAACCATTTGTATCGACTTTCAATCTCAAAAATCAAAGAGAAGTTATGTTAATATCAAAGACTATTTTTACGAAAAACAAAATCATTGGATTGTGTTTCGTGATTGGGCATCAGATATTCATAATGATTTCTTTTATATGTTTAAGGTGAATGAGGATCCTCTTTGTGAGGATTCCAGAGATCCTCCAATCATATCCATTTATTGTACATCGTGCGATCAGTTTTCGTCATGTAACTGTTTATATTTAATTTTAAATAAAAAAATTTACAATGATTTCCAACCACACGATGTACAATGAGCGTATGTGATTAAAAAATCCCTGAAATCTTTACAAAGATGATCCAGAGAGGATCCTCATTCGATTGAGGTTATAAGATTTATTAAGATTAGGAGGCACAATAATGACGATGGTGGGCCTTAATTGAGTAGAATCAAAGGAAGATGAAAATTGAAAGCGATTCTTAGCTAAATACCTTAATGATGGGTTTATTGTCACTGTTTCTCCTTTTCTTTTTACACAATAGACCAGTCACAATAATTTGATATCAAACACGTAATTTACAAAACTCGATTCTACAGTTTTTACTTCGAAGTCTCACAGAAAATCAATTCCACATTCTTTATGGTTCTAATACAAATGCACCTTAATGTAGTGTAGAGGAATTTATTAGGGTGTACCAAACAATTAAAGGAGAGAGCATGAGTACTACTGTACTGTGATTTTTTGCTACCGAACCATGGTGGCTAGGGTTTGCCTTGGAGGCTTAGAGCCAAACTCAACCATGCAACCAATCACTTAGTTACAATCTTACTTTACTGGATTCAGCATAATGTCATGTGAACTGGAGACAATTAATTAGCTTATTAGGGTTAAACGAGTTTTTTTTTATTTAAAAAATTTATTATTATTACAAAAGGGGAAGGGCTTTGAAACTGTTACATTAGAAGAGGAGGAGTTTCGAATCCATAATGCATAGGCAAAAATCGAACATTCTATTTACTAGGATATTGAACCACATACAAGAGTTAAATGAGTTTTAATTCAAAAGTCCATGAATAAAATAGGTGTGTTTTTAATGCCACGTAGGGTTTGACTACATTATTATGTATTTAATATACTTATCATCTTGACGGTCAAATAATTAACTATATATATATTCACAAAAATTATATACGACCATCAGATAATAATTGTATCTAACATATGCAAATGTTGTAGGTAACTAAATACTGAGTGTTTTAGATGTTAAGTCTTGAGTTTCATAATAGCTTAAATCTTTTTTTTTTTGTCAAAAGATAAATTTTGTTATAT